TTATTATTATTATTATTATTATTATTATTATTATTATTATTATTATTATTATTATTATATATTATTAATTATAATTCCAAGTATATTAAATATTCCTTAGATCTCAATAATAAAGTATTAATAAATTCAAATTGAAACTAAAATACCAATACAATTGCTCATTTCGTATTTGAAAATCGCTATAAACTAATTAATATCTAATTAATTTATAGTCCTGAATCGAAATCAGATTGAAAACCACATTTACATTATACTATTTGGTTTTGTAGAACATAATCAAAGTTTGTCTTAGAAACTGATAAATGAAAATCTCTTTGTGTAAACCCTTTTATAATTAAAAGTTGGCCCCAGATGCCAAACCCCGTCAAATTTCCATTAGAGATTTATGCTAAATGAATTGCAGACTTACTTAAAACATTTAATAGGCTGTTGTAATAATAGATTGTAATATGTGTGTGTGTGTGTGTATCTGTGTTAACTATTTTTGGCAACTAAATTTAGTTGGAAATTCATTTTGGCCTGGCAAGTGTTAATATTGTCTGACTGCTGGCAATCCAACATTTAATTTTTGCCACTCCAACTTGTATAACAACCTGAACATGCAATTATTTTGCCAAATCACTCACTCTCTCTCTCTCTCTCTCTCTCTCTCTCTGTGTTGCTCTCTTTAGCAATTTCGACTTGAAGGTAAAATTGCATTCAAGGAAATTGCGTCAAGTGTGCTGAAATTGGCATTGTTCGCCCAGCAAGCGTTGAATGCCAATGTGACCACATGGAAATTGCTCAACAGGGCGTATACTTAATAAAAGCAGCAAGTACATTTTCGACTGCCTCCCATATTAGCGGTTGAGGTAAACACCGTACTGCACATATTTCTTAAACATTTCTTCCTCTTCTTATTTTTGTTAGCTATCAGTCGATGCTATGCGTACAATTTTTAATTAAAAAATTAATCATACGGGCCGCAGGAAACGGAAAAGTGTTGCTCGCTGCGGATGTGTGGGGTAGGCAAAGAGGAATGTGCGACTAGTTGCGCTTTGTTGCTTTTCTCTTTTTTTGGACTTGAAGATAAATTTTAGCCGTGCGCATTTTATGGCAGGTTCCTTGACGAAATATGCGTGTGGTTGTCATGCTCTCACCCTCTCATACTCATTTCCTCTCTCTATCTCCCATCCTTCTCTCTCGGTTCTATTTGTGTTTGGGTGTTTCGAAAAAGTATGCAGTAAGTTTATGAAAATTCTTTGTTTACGCCAAGGTGTGCATGTAAGCATGTGTGTGTGTACTCATTTATGTGTACGTACATATGTATGTGTGTGTGCTAGGTAAATTGTCTCGGTTTGTTAATTTTGCGTTCCTGTCAAATTTATATGCTGGTTAGCTCCAAGCAAACTTTCAGCTGACAACCGTATTTTGTTTGTGTTCGTTTCTAATTTATGAGCACAATTAGATAGGTGGCACACTGTGCAGGATCAGTTTTAAGCTCGAACAAGCATTGTTTGCCCGTAGATTTAAGAGTAATTAAAATTCGTTTGCTCTCCAACATTTTAAGCTAGACCATTTCCTGTAGCCACTCGAATTGATTTTGAAACATATTACATTTTGTGCTCAAACTGTTGAAGCTGGGCTTAATAAAATCGAATAGCTGTTAAACGTTGAACTGATTAACAGTCTATGTTAAGGCATTAACAGGCAGAAATGAAAGAGCAGCTCTGCTAACAACACACTTCAGTGCTTAACAGTTTCTGTTATTGCATAAATATAATTAAAATAATAACTATACAGAACATTCCACCATAAACACCTAAAATCGAATATATCAGCAATTATCAGGTAGCTCACATAAAATTGTAAAATCTGTTAATCTCTGTTAATCTTACATAAAACCACAAGAAGAAAACAAAACTACAAATATACATTTACTGCTGCCTTTTCACTTTTTACAATGCAAATAAATTAGAGTCCAACTGATATCCCTTTTACACACGCATGTTGGCCCACACAAAGAAAGATTTGCATGAAAAACATTTTGCAGGAAAACACAAAACGTAACTGGAGCAACACATTGGTAATGCAAACAACACACGACACGCACACCAGCACACACACACACAGGTGCACGCATACATAAGCTATTTGAATGCCTAAATATTTTACAAACTAATATCAATTCAATTTGTATGCATTGAGAAATTGTATGTGTGCGTGTATGCGTGTGTGTTCATGGACACCAAGGCATCAATGGGGCATTCCGACACACACAGGTGACACAAGCTGCTCCAATAATTTATGTATTTCTAATAAGAGTAACATTCACATGTTATTGTTGTTGGGTGACAACACAATTTGAGGTTATGTGTAAGTGAGCACTGCCCATGCGAGCAGCAGAGTTGCCAGTTTAGCCTATTTCAGGCTAGATCTAGGCTTGATAATAAATGATATGGAATAACCATGAATTGCGGCAGCCTATGCAGAACTCTTAGTCCTTAAGAGAACTATAGAACCGGCGAAACTGTTGTCTATGCCATCTACATTTATATTGTCTGTCTGTATATCTGTCTCTCTCTCTCTTTCTCTCTCTCTCCCCTCTTTCTCTCACTCTCTCTCTTTCTCTTTCTCTCTCTCTATATATCTCCCTCTCTTCATCTCTCTCACTCCCTTGTCGGACTCAACATTTGAGCGACACAGTCATTGAGTGAAAGTTGCCCTATATAAGGAGCAGCAGCTACAGCATTTCTTCAGTCGTCCCAGGCCTGGTGAAGTGAAGAAAGTGAAGTAAAGTGAAGTGCCGTGACGTGAAGTGAAGTGAAGGGAAGTAAATAATCAGTGATCGTTGAGCAAATCACTAAAGACTTAGAGGAAATAATTCAAGCAATACTTGGAAGAAATACTTAGAGGTAATACTTAAGGGAAGTATTTAGATTGCCGGCTATATAATATGCTGATTTAAGTTTACTGTCCGATTTAATTATCTATATATCAATACAATATTATAAGTACACTATCTAGAAATAAACACAATTTTAATTCAAACTTTAACTGTAATGTCTTAATTTTCAAATAAAATTTTCGCGCTTCTGTTAACCGTATGGTATATTACTGGTAACAAACAGAAGTATTTTTTAGGCACAAACGTGCATTCATTATATCGACAGTTTGGAAGCTATCGATAAGTGTCCAACCAATGAAACTACGTGGTAAGCAAGCAGAATAATGGCAAATAAACCAAAAGACGAGGAAAGCACAAATGATTGGGATCAGAGCGATGAAGATGACAACTGGGATGATTGGGGCGATGGCGAGGAAGATGAGGATAAGTTTGTACACATTGAAAAAGAACAGGAACCTGAAAACAAAAAAACAACGAAAGAGAAACCAGAAACAAATGCTAAAGCTCAGCCCGAGACAACAGCTGCTCCTCCTGCACCCACCTCTTCTTCTTCCTCCTCCACTGGCTGGGGCTTATGGAGCGGCAAGTTGAGCTCTGTGCTGAGCACTGCTACCGAGGGCCTGGGCAACATTACAACCCAAGTGAATCAGGGACTTAATCAGATAATTGGCGTACCCGATCCCGAGGAACTGGCACGCATAAATGCAGCCGAGGAGGCATCTAAGCCGAAGCCGGAACCGCCAATCAGAGACGAAGATTCGCCACAAACAGGTGCGGAAAAATCCGACGCTGGAGGTGTACCTGCATTTAATCTTGGATTGGTCACAACTATCGGCTCGAAAGTCCTCAACACAGGCCTGGACACTCTCGAGGGCATTGGCAAAAAGACAATGACCATATTGCAAGAGAACGATCCTAAGCTGATGAACAAACGCAAATTGCTAGGACTCGAGGCGAACAAACCCAATTTGAGTGCCGTGCTGCTGGAAGCGAAAAAGGATGCAGATCAAATGGAGCAGTCGCTGCAACAACTGCAAGCGGAGAAGCGTAAGGCACAGCTACGATTCGAAGTGCTCTTTGAGAACTATTGCGGCCTGATGCACTACGAGGCTCTGGAAATACTATCAAAAGAGTCGCGACTCAAACTGGACACGCTGCGCGATGCAGTTAGCGGGCAGGCGCTAAGCGAGCTGCAGGCAAGAATAACTTAATATTATTATACATTATATGTTGATCAAATTTTGTGCTGCAGGAAACTATTGGCGAGGTCAAGGAGCTACTGGAACTAGAGGATCTGGAATGCGACAGCGAAGGCGACTATACAGCTGAAGAACTTGGCGAGCGCTTGGCGGCCACGATAGCTGACGCAGAGCTGGGTATTAAGTTCGAAGATGTCGCTAGGTGACTGAGCATAAATAATCACAATTAAATGCACAGACTAATGATGGCACTACCTTTGCAGTCATTGGTCAGAAGCGCTGAAGTGGCTCAGCTCGGAAGAGGCAGCCGTTGCGGACCTGGAACAAGCCTATGAGAAGAGCATCAATGCATTGAGTGAAGCCAGTGCCCTGCAAATGTGCAAACTGCACAAAATCGCTGAACTGATGCTGGTGAAGCCCCATCACAGCACTGCCAACGAAGTGGATGGCATTGTGCAACTCTGCAAGCAATTCAACGGACATCTCCAGGGACTAACACAACGATTCGCCGCGCATCTAAGCAGCAAGAGCGATGCCGCCGGCTCAGAAGAATGCAAAGCGAGGGTCAACACCTACTTTAGCGAAATGTTGTCCGCCGTAAAGTACATAGAGCAGGCCTATAAACTCTTTACGCCCATATTGCAATTGGGCGCCGTCTAATAAAATGTTGTTATAATACCATATTATAAAGAATTAGCTATCTATTTGTCCTCATCTTGTGTAATGGCTTTTTGTTTTTATATAAATATGTAATGAATTATTTTCGCTATGTGATACATTATTCAAGTTGATATTTTTTTGCGAAATCCTATTGGATTTATTGAAATCCAATCAAAAATGAAGCAGAGGCTGCTTATTGACCTTTGCAGGTGCTGTTATTAAGAGTTATACATGAACATATGCCTAATAATATTCTCGGGGTAAGCTGTATGAGGATTTGATATTCATAGTATGGACAAATGTATATAAAGCGTTTACAAACATCCAAATATTTTTAACAAATTATCAAATACCTGTTAAGTTTTACATATTCAGTTAACATTTCAAACGATAACACACAGAACGGATTCTTTAAGAGTTTGTCTTGTTTTTTTTTTATTTATTACTAATTATACAAATCATATATTTCATATTTTTTACCTCGGTCTCGTAGTTTACAGCATACAATTTGAACAATCTTTAAGCTTAATAATTATCAACCGCAAAATGAAAATGAACTGCCGAACAAAGAGATTTAGCAGCTGCTTAACAACAAATAACATATTGGTTTATATAAAGATCAATTTGTTGTTTTTTGTCTTGAATTACTCTGCTTTGCGTGGCTGTTCATTGTTTTGGTAACAGATGCGCGTTCAACAATATTTAAAATCTCAAATCGGGCTTATACTTAAGCATATATCTGCAAGAGAGAATTGATATTAAATGGATAATTCAAATAAATGGAATATTTCGGGCTATTTACTTGTCCAATGTCTCCCAAAATTTACTCAGCACAGCGCGATCCAAATGCCTTTTGTTTTGTGATAGACGCAGTAGCGTCACCGACCAGCGCTCCACATTCGCATCCAGTTTCAGCTCACTGAAGCACAAGTGAAAAGCGCAAACTGCAATACAACAGGAAATTTAATATGCTTGATTATAATTTCAGCTGTGGGTGTTTACTCTTTGAGAATATTTCCACGGGGTTGCCATCCCAGGGCCAGCCCTTGAATTGCCACTGTGGACCCATGACAAAAACAGCGACAACGCGCTGCCAATCCTGTTGGCTGAGCTTGATGGGGTTGTCCACAACCCGATACGAGACCGTCTGATTGTTACGTTTACGCTGAAATAATTTTATAATTATTAAGTAGAACTAGAAACGATATGAATTTTGCTTTACATGCAGCAGCACTTCGCTCTCACGCTGACAGCCCTGCAGCTTCTTTTCTGACGTAGACATGAAGCGCAAATCCTGCAGTATATCCTTAACATTTAACATTGTTATAAGGCTCGTGTTGGCAGAAGGTATAATTATAATGGGTGTACGCGAGGGTCGCTTCTGTGGACCGTTCGCTGGCAGTTGTCGAGCCTGCGCCGTGGGCAGCAGATCCTTGGGCCCGCGTGCAACAGCTGTGGGTGTGGCTGCCGCGGCACCAGCACCATGGGGCATATTCGCCTGAGCCTTTCGTTGCGCCAGCGAACCCTCTGTCACGGATTTGAGCGACATGCCGTGATATGTGCCCAACGTATCGATTTTAAAGCCTTCAGTCTCCTCCTTCTGACGATTGAAACGCTCCTGATCGTAACGATTGTATTGTGATAGCTGCGGTTGAGGCTTAGTGATGCGCGCCGGTTCAGGCATCTTAATTGGATTAGCTGCCTGCGGACGATTGCGTCCCTCCTCACGTGCCTTAATGCCCTGTAGCATAGCGAAAATATTCTTGGCAAATACTTTGCCTGTGCTTTGCAGCACCGATGTGCGTGTACGCCATTGCCTTTCGCGGCTTATAATATCCTTGGTGGAGTCCACATCGTAGTCGAGAATAGCGCGCAGATCTGTGCCCATGGCCTCCTCATTGTCTGTACGCTTGATTGTGGTACGCTTGTTGGCCAGACGTTTCGCTTTTATGGCCGCAATCTTTTCAACTGACATTGTCTCTGACAGCGACTTGATGTTGTCCATGTTGACGGCCGTCTCCTTTTGGTTGACATCCCAGCGTGCAGCCAACTGCTCGCGCACCTTCTGCACCTGGGTCTCCTCGAAGCGAGCCTTTTTGGCCGCCGTCTCACCGCTAGTTGCCGCATCTCCATCCGCTGTTCGCTTCACTTGTGTGGGTATCTCCAATGGTGCACTCTTGTCTATGCTGGCACATGTCTGTGTCTCGCCATTCAGATAGGCGAGCAGCTCCTTACGATCGGGCCGATTCACGGCGGGTATATCCTCGGCTGCACACTGACGCACATACACCGAATGCTGTAGCATAACATTCTTGAGCAGATACAGTAAGCATTCGAGTGTATAATATTCGCGTGGAGCCCCCTTTTTGCCAGAGCTGCAAAAATATTGCGTTGACAAAGAAGAGAAAGGGTAGAATATAACAATATTATAAGCGAATAGCTGATTAGCAATTTACCCATATTTGAGATAGTTGGTTTTAACATTTTTGGGCCAGGAGAATTCACCAAATATAATTTGATTATCACGCTCGATTATTTCCTTTTTGTTTATGTTGTATTGCCGCAAGAGACTTAGCGGATCCGCCATTTTTGTCTAGCCTTCGTTTTGCGCTGCACGAGGGGCCGTCCTTGTCTCTGTTATTGTAACAATTTATTAGGTAAACAGGCAAAACAAATATATACGATAATGTAACACAAAATGAAAATTTTACAAAGTTATTTAAGCATATATTTTATTTCTCACATCGCGTATTTTGGTTTGCTGCTGCTTCTTCTTCAACCAACCGAAACTGTCAGACGCAGCTATTCGATAGCACGGCACTTAAGCGTTGCCACACAACATAAGTAATCGATATATTTGTCAGTCTATTGTGAATCAGCCATATGGTTATATCGAATTGATCTGCCGGCAGCCAAACAAAATACAAGAAAAATGTGGCCCCAAAGATAAAAAAATCCAAAATATCCAATTGTATAATAATGTAAACATAAAATGTACAACAGAACGCCTCATTATACGGTCAATTTGTATATGTGCATACGCCAATTTGTGTTTGTTGAATCGCAAATGTTTATGAATGCTGTGTGGAAATTTATACCAAAATAATCTAATCATTAGTTACTAATGTGTAAAGTGCATTAAATACATTAAGAATGGGACAGTCGGCGGGTAAAATAGGTAAGTCAAGTGAATCTGTAATTTATTTACATAGTGCATTATTAATACTGGGTAACCGTGTGGGGCATGTTGTTTGCCTATTTATATAGCAGGTTAGGTGCATGTGGGCAGCCTAAGAGAAGTCTATAAATATATTGACGATACATTGTATATGTAGTCATTTGATTATTTAATGTGCAATCATTTGGCAATTGGAGTTGCCTGCCGCATTCCAATGGGGTTTGTGACCTTCTTTCAGCCCCATACACGCGCACTGTAACAGCTGTTTGCCTTAGCGATGACACTCTATTGTGCTGCCGATAGTTTTCAAAAGCTATTATTTGAAACCAAATAAAAAGGTGGCAGCGCTAATTTCAGATACCCGCGCTATTTGCTTTTTTTTCAAAATTACTTGATGAAAATCTTGTTGATTCCTTTTTGAATGAGTTTATAAAGAAATCAACAATATATGTACACAAGAATTTTAATACTTATACACAACTTTGACTCGGTTAATATAAAAAATTATGGGAATATAAATGTCCATTAAATTTATGAGTTTCTCTGTCTATATAAAATCTTCTGTACTTAGCTTCCAATATCTGGCTTAACTAAAGATTTATGAATGTATAGCAACTATTCAGTATGAGATTAATATTTCAACTATAATTTATAGAATGGAGCCCCTTGAAAAGGGACTAATAATTGCAGCGATTATTTTTGAACTGAATTAAATGAGATACTTATGTATGGCTTATAGCGACAAAGACACCTTTTTACCTAACAAAACACCTGCACAATGCGTGGAAGTATCCTTTATTGCATTTACCAAAAGGTATAACCAGTCTCAATGCAATAAGGACATCAAATCCTTAAGCAGCTTAGAGGTACGGAAAGTCAAAAATCTGAAGTAGTGTGGAAAAACTCTCACACGGCTATGCAAACAGATTTTTTTTAATAATAGATGGGCGCGAACATTGACGTAATGCAAGGATTTAAAGTTACAGGTGCCAAGTCCAGTTACCTGCGATGTTACTCTACTTGGGTTACTCTATAGCAGTAGCAGTAAATAGTTTTGATTTCTTTGCAGCCGGTAGACAATAAATTATTGAGTTTATGGCAATGATTTCTTACAAAGCAGCTTGTAGGAAAACGTAGAAAAGCAAAGGACTGCGAAGGACAATGGAAAACCCAATAAGTGAAAAAGTAAAAGAAACTCAGAGCGCAGACAGGTAGAAAAAACGGCACTGCATATTGACCCTGGCCGAAACAAAGAGCCAGCATAATGGACTAGGATCGCAGCCAGATCTCACGTGGTATCAACTTTATATATGACTTGGCAAATACGCGAGTTTTTCCATACAAAATTTTGAAAGATTCCATAAACAAGGCTGGCAAGGAATCGCTGGGCATCGATCTACAAATATGACTTGCCGAATACGCGAGTTTTCCACATTTCCTAACGGGCCACAAGGCTTACATTTCCCATTTATTCCCGCTCCCTTCACATATGTTGATTTTTCGCGCTGTGTATTTTGGCGGGTATTTTCGGGATGTTTCGTTTCTGATATTTGATTAGCGTATGCGGATGCGCCTGCGTCTCGCCTGCTAAAGGAAGTGACGGCGTGCAAACAAGAACAAAAAACGCTAGATTTTGATCGGTTTCACCCTCACCTAGTATATATACGCATATAACTCCTGTCCTGTCCCGCCAAGCTGCACAACTGCTGCAGTCGCAGTCGCAGCGCAGGTATGCAGCGCCCAAAAAGGATCAATTTTATATGTAGACTGTTTCCTATGCATAGTATATAAACATGTGTGTACACAGCCAGGAAAATTTTTACTTACATGGAATTTTATTTGTAGTTGCTTAAAGTCAATTTAATTGGTATTTTCTTGGTTTAATTATTTAATTCAATGTTTTATAATTTCTACAGTTATTTGATTGTAATTTACCTTTATATTTTTTATAATTTTAATTTAATATTTTTTTATTTTTAACAAAGTAAATTAAATAAAACGTATTATATTTTTTTAATTGAAAGGTTAAGAAACCTTGTTTTTAACATAAGATTTTGTATACATACACACAAGTTTCTCGCAGTGTAATGCCTGCTGCTGCCGTCGCTCTCAAGTGTTTGCGTAAAATTCTTTCTTTCGTTTCCTTGCGCAAGACTGGATTAGTTTTCTATATTTATATACAATACACAACAGTTGCTATGTTCTCTCTCTTTCTCTCCGTCATATGTGATCCTCGAGATCCTTTGCATATGTCGTTTTCTAATTAAACACGCATCGGGCAACAATTTTCTTTGGGATATTTGTTACACATTTCGTCTCCAGAGTTCCGTTCGATTCGATTGATCTGAGTTCGACGATAAACGAATGAGGTTTTCCTTACCATTTACAGCTGCGCTTATCCAGGTGTTTCGTTGATAGGCAGAAATAATATCAAATATTTATGTTGCTTAAATGAAATTTTGACTTCCCCGCGCGTTTCTACCTTGTCTTTGAACAGGGTTTATTAAATTATATAATAAAGCGATTAGCTTGCGATAACATTCATTAAAACGCTTTTCATGCCCAGTTTACCATTGAAGTTTAAAGACTCTACTCTATCATATCTATGGCTAACTTATCTAACCACTTGAACCCATCATTTAATATAATATTCTAATGAAACGGAACTACTTTTCTGGCAATCTATTGCTGGGGTCAATTTCGATTTAATTTAGTTGGGAAACAATTTAATAAAGAACTTGTATATCTATTTTACGTTCCAATTAGTTGTCTGTGAAGGCTATTGTTAATATTTCCATTTTCCTGCTCATGCTGAGTTTTTTTTTAACATCATTTAGATAAACATTATATTGTTTTATTGCTGTAAAATGTGATATGAGAACTTTACTTTACTGTAGACAGAAGGCGAAATAAATTATTTGTATTAAAAAAAAAAAACATAATAAAAATGTATCGTTAGTATTTAAAAGACTAATATAACTATTTTTCAGCTAATTGTTAGCAAAGTAATAATAAATCTAATCTGGCTGCGTTGAAGCAAATATTTCATGGCTAAGATCTTCAGGATGGTACTTCTAAGATCTTGTTACTCTAGGTGATCCCAAATTTTGTAGAAATCATATCAATTACAATAGCAATATAAGTAAATGATAATATGTAATGATTGTTAATCTATGAAGAAACTGTATGCTATATAGTTTTGATATAAGAATTAGAAAATCGCGAACATTTTTTCCAATAGCTTATAAACTGAACTCAGGATACCTAAAATTTATATATTCATATTTGCATTTACAAATTGTGTTAGTGCTGTATTGTTTTAAGTCATTTTGAAGCAATGAGACCTCCACAGAGATTGGATGCGGTAAAGTGAAGTCTAAGCAAAGTCTAAACAGCTGCTGCTGCCTCGGAAGTGCAACTTTAAGCTCATGTGGTAGACTCCACTTTAAGGACATTCGCATTAGCAGACGCCTGATCCTGTGGTTGCTTTTTTGCTTAGTTTCTTTTTGTTGTTTTTTCTACTCATATGAAATATGTGGACAACTGTTGTCTGCGATGCCGATGCTATGCTCTTGATGAGGGATAATAATTGCTTTGCCGGCCACAGCGATGTCTGGTGAATGCTTTTACATACGTTGACAGCAGATGCAATTCGCCCGATCGGAAAGGATCAGCAGACAGACAGAAGGACGAAACGGGCCGTCAGACAATCGGACCGGCAGACAGCGAAAGCATTTAAATTTTGATATTAAAGTGGGAAATGCATATTCAGCATCCTGGCTGGCAGCAGGCGCGCGTTCCATCTTAAATGCAAGGAAATACAGCTGCTGTCGCTGGGCCTGGCCAAAACTAAAACAACAACAACAACAACAATAATAATAATAACAACAGCAGCAGGAGCAGCAGAAAAAGGACACGCTGTCGAAACAGGAACCACAAACAAGAAGTTGTGCAGAAATCGAAAAACCTACCCCCAGCAAAAACTATATACCTATATACATACATACATATATCGTGCAGATCGTTCGCATCTGTGGCTGCATTTTGCATTGGAAGGGGTTTTCAGTCTGTTTGTTTGTTTGCTCGCTGACCAAAAATAAAAAACCAGGTGTAAATTTTACCTCTTTCAACTCCCTTATCCCGCATACGCTTCGGCACTCACATGACGATCATATGCATGGCGCTGCATTGGGTTTCCGCATGGGTCTTTGTTGAGGCTTGACAAACACGTGGCGGACGTGCGCCAGTTGTCTGTCCCTGATAAGGCTCCACCATGCCTCACATATGTATAATATTAACCATATATGCAAAGTATATTTTTATTTTCGCCCATACACTTAGCGAAATAGAGTAGAGGCTAATTTCGAAATGAAATTTCCATCAAATGAATGTGAAATTTGTGTCTGGCTTTACTATCTCAAATTTGATTTTGATTTGCTCCGCTTTCATAGATAAGTTCTCCACAATATCTTAAGGATAAGTCCGCTTGATTTTCAAAGTATTTGATATATTTTTGGCTTTATTTAAGAGCTGATATGTTTAGTAAAAGACGAAAGTAATACAAAGTAAAGTTTTCTGTTCGAATATACAAAAGACTAATTTGATATAAACCCTATAGACCCAATACGTAACTCACTTTTTGAGAAACTTCACAGCGAATTTTAACTAAAAATGCTATAGATTTATTTTTGCCAAGTGTACGGAGTAGCCCCCAAACGGCAGCTGCCCCCATATGTTTCTCTGTGCCTGCCTGGGGGAGATAATTCTGTGTATTTTTTGCTCTGTGCAATATTCAAAGTAGTTTATTCTTAAATTTAGAATATTTTTTTTATATGTGTGGCCCCATTGGCAAAAATATACTCCCTATCTATATAGTTCTTCTCCTTCTCTCTCTGTCTTTCTCTCCATAGAGCTCGTTCAGTCGATCTCTCCCACGAACATTTGGAAACATCTGCTGACTGGTTTAAGGTTCCTTACCCTCTTTTTCTTCTCCGTCTTGCGCGTTGTGCCTGCTTCTTCTATTTGGCATTTGTCTTTTGCCTTGACAATTGTCATCATTCCCTTTTTGTGGCCATTGGGTTCAAGGTTCTATTGTTTATCCGATGTCATACGGTTTTCCGTGGCTCTATAGTTATTCTAAACCCCGTACTGTGCGTTGCCAATTTCAATCAATATCTGTAGAGAATTATTCTAAGCCAGCATTTAATGTAAATGCCAAACGAAAATGTTGCATTTCGTTTTACTACTTTGATGATCTCATGTCAATTTTTTACTTTATATTACAGAATATATGTACATTTATTGATATGGAACTTAAAAATTTCAAAGGCATTCCCCTGATTCATCAGAGTCATTTGAGAGTCTGATTATCTAATCGATTAGATTGGGCGAGCGATAAGAAACATTTACAATTATAGATTTTACAATTCTCTATTCTCAGTGGGACTTCACAAAGCTCTGACGCGAATGCAATATAAAGCACTCAACCATTAGTAAATATTGCGATATGTTTTTATCAAAATTTAAAAGAGAAAATATAAAATCAGAATTTCAGTTTTCATTATTATTGAGATAAGAAAGCTATACAATAAAACATATCATAAATTATTATATTTATATTATTTTATTTAAACCAATTTGAATACTTAATATATAAGAATGTTGTAGTCTTAAAATAGTTCTGGATTATCCAAATACTTTACTTGATTTTGGAAAATCTCATTACTAAATTGTTGGTTTGGAAAACTGTAAACTATTTTAAGCAAAAGCAACTTTCCCAAATGAACTTTACTAGGTTTAACCCCATAGCCAGAAACGCATAATAATTAAAAACAAAAAATTAAATAACAAAGAGAAGCAAAAAAAAGTTTACACACTATTCCAGTAAAATTTGGCGTACTAACACTCAACTGGGGGAAGCCAACAGACCTTTTATTGCCCCAGAGTACTAAGCAAAAAAAATTGTCTTGAACTTTACTGAACTTTGGCCAAAAAAGTGCCGCAAAACAGTTAGAGGCGTCTTCTCAGCGCAAAAGAGCAGCAGCTTGGTCAAAATGCAGGCGGCTTACAAACCTGGCCTAGAACAGCCGCCAGCAGCAGCAGCAGCAGCAACAACAACTGCATTCGGCTATCAAGGTGCACCAACGATCAAACAGGAACAACAACAACAGTATTGAGCAAATTATAAGGGAGGTTCAATACACGCGAAAGCAGGCACAAAAGCGAAACCATAGTAAATAAGAAACAGCTGCAAGTAGAGCTGCGTCGGTGTTGTTGCCTGTGCCGCGCTCTCTCACGCTGCTCTTCCTCTCAGTTAGAGATGTGCGCAATAGCAGTTGAGCTAAGTAACAGAAGCACGAGCAACCGCTACACACAGTAAATGATATTAATATGAGTTTGCTTAAGCACAACTTTTACTCTCCTTCTCTTAACTATTTATACAGAAGACTCAAATTTTCAATATTTATAAGAAGTTTATGAGAAACAGATCTTCAAGGATTAAATGCGAGTTGTTATGAGAAGCAAGGATTCAGTACGAGCGAGACAATTGGTTTGTTGCTCTTGCGCTCACGCGTACATCGCTAGTCAGCTGACGCTGGCGCTGACGCCGCCGTAGACGCCGCCGTCGTCGCTGACTGCGCAGCCTTTTTACTTTGCCCGTTGGCTGGCGCTGCAAAGAAGTTTCAGTTTGAAAATAAACGTTGAAGCTGGCGCACACGTTCGTTCGCTTCGCTTCGTTCCGTCTCGTCTTCGTTCCGTTCGCGTTTGTTGTTTGTTCGCGTTTGTTTGTACCGTTGCAAACAATACACAAATCAACAATAAATTACCAAAATGTTTTAAATGTTTAATAAACTCTGTACCAAATAAAACAAAAAGAAAAGTTTGAAAGCACGCAAGGTTTTTGGTTCTTGCTTTTTAGCTTTTAGCGCATTTTGTCCGTTAGTTTTTCGTTCGAATTTTCACAAAAAAAAAGCCGTTCAAAATGGGTCTGTCGGATATACCAGTCAACTATATGCAGCAGCAGCAACAACAACTCCATCATCATCAGCACAATCATCATCATCAACTAAATGCCGCGGCGGCCGCTGCACACGTTTTGGCAATGGAGAACAGCGAACTTTTGATGAGTCCCAAGGACAAAATGTCCAGCAAAAAGAAAATGCATTTACTGAAGAAAATCAAGAAACGCTTTGGACTCGGTTAGTACAGAAAAAAAAAAAAAACATTACTTCATTTAAATTGCAGCGTGCGAGAAATCTGTTTTGAACTATGTATATAAATAATTCATGGCAAAAGCTACTTGAATTCATTTTTGCATATCTTGAAAAATTTCCCACATAATATTAAAATGTGCGGGGCTGTGTGTGCGTGTGTGCTGTTAATGAATGCGGCAAAGATAAATAAATACATTTTAAGTCAGAAAAACAACAATAAACAGCAGCGTGTTTCTGAATACATTAGCGTTTTTTGCTCTCTAAATAAAAAGATCAGTCATAAAACTCACAGCAAAAACCTCTTGAGATTGTTTAAACAATAGCCAAGTCGCGTGTGTTTAAAATTAGACTCGGAAACTCTATTTTTTACATAGGGCATAAATCTAATAATGTTTTGCTTTTCTTTCTAAACGGATGAGCCTCAGCTATGCCTGCGATAAGCTTCTACAGAACGTTGCTTCTCTTAGTTCCTAGAATATTAATTCACACGAAATAATATATGCCATTTCCAGTTAAACATTTAACATTTTTAATCTATCTATAACTAATCTATTTAATCTAGTTGTGCTAAATTCAAAAGCAGAAATTAGATTAAAATACATTTAGTTACTCAACTATCTCCTAAATTTCTCTTTAATGCATCAAATCAGCTTTCAGTTCTTTTAGAGCCTGCCAACTTCCTTTCAATATTCTTAGCCGGAAGTGCCTGTAGATCTCTCATCAACACAAAATAATAAAACTAACAAGAAATTGCAAAGTCCATAAACAAACTCAAATCAAGCAAAATGTATGTTTATATAGTATGTATATACATTTTTATACATATATATGTAATCGCACACGGCGCGGTTATGTTTACATATAACACCGCGATTGCGGCGCTCAATTTTTGACATTTTGTTTTGATTGCTGTTGCTGCAGCTGGAAAAGCCTCTCTTGGCTCGCGCACTCTCTCAGCTTTTGTTCTATGGCGGCAGGCGAAGCAGCAGAAGAAGTATGAGACGGGAAAAAAAATACCAAACCAAGCCCCAAGCCAATGACGCATACATTACGACTGGCCACCACACCCCCCCTGGGTCCCTCGACTAACCCAACAAGTCTGGCCAAATGCCCCATTCAGCAGTTGCAGAGTGTTGTCGTTGTTGTTGTGGTTGGATTTGTACGCGAAGCGCCGTTTTAGCCGTCGGCAACTTGGGCAAAGTAAAAGAGGTAAAGCAAAGCAACAGCAACAACAAAAAACGAGCAGGCAGAAGACAAGCTTTAAAGCTAGGTTATGGAGAGGGGCCGGCGGCTTGAGGCGAGTTGTAGCTGCGTTTTTTGACTTGCCTCTTACTCTTCCCATCCACATCCAATTTTATTCCATTTCGTTTTGAACGTGCGGCATTTGCGCTGCGTATCGGTAATCAATGAAATTACTTTGTTTTTGTTTTTTTCTGCTGCCTGGAATCAGCTGCTTGTTGTTGTTATTATTATTGTAGTTGCTGTCTTTGTTTTTTTTCTCTATTACACTTTGTTAGCGCTTATTGTTGTTGTTGTTGTTGTTATGTCTTCTGCTGTTTGCCTGTTGGCATGCCATAGACAAAGTCTTTGCTTTTGGCTTTGGCTTTGGTTTATCTGCTTTTACTCGAGCTTCTCACGGTTTACTTTTGTTGTTGCTATTGCTGTTGCTGGCGCTGCCAACTTCACTCAAATTTCAAATGCATTCTGTGGGCTTCATTTGTTACGCGCCGACAAATATTTGCTCATCAGTGCTTCTCAAACTCCCCCAAGCACGCACGTACCTCTGCATATGTATGTAAGTGTGTGTGTTAAATAAAAATCGCGCAACTTTCAATTGCTTCGCTCATTTTTGTTGGTTTGCTTTGCCTATGAGCTCATGTGAGAGTGAGCCCCACATGCGTCATCCTTCAAAGCTTGCGGACAGTGCAGCACACGCACACACACATACATGGACAAAAAGATATTTTTGCTATTTGCGGTCAAGCCGATAGCCATTTGAGCAGATAAGAGAGTTAAACGTAGAACTTTCAACTACTACAACTGTTACTTTACACACACACACACATACTCACACACTTTTGTATGTTTAAATGCTTTCTCGTCGTGAGAGCGTAAGCGTCGTTCAAAGAGAGCCTGCGTAACCTTCAGCTATTTATGTTCCCAACGAAAGCTTTCATAACAAATGAAACCCTTCAATTAGCTAAAAGGAAAGATATTAATGCATATTCTAAAAAAGCATGTCTTATTATTTATCATAGTGACCTATATTGTATGTAGTTTTAATGTTTTCTCTCCATTGTTTATCAGTTAATGAACCAGCCTGACGGCTGGGGACTTGCAACAGCCGAATATATCTACAAAGAAATATTGTTAACAGTTTACCAGACACATAGATAATAGTTGTACACCCCATAGATACATAGATAAAACTGTCTTGGGTGTCGCAACACAGCTGGCCAGGTAGCAACAGGTAAGGCGGCCAAGATGCGGGACAGCTGCCTTCCATTCCTTCTTCTCTCGGGCATGAACACACGCAAAAGGCAACGCAGAGCAATTATCTACGCCCCGGTCGGCCAACAGGGCTGATAAATCAAGAGATAGATAGATAGTTACCTACCTACGGGTTGTCCAAAAAAATATCCACATTCAGCCGTTCATCGATTGGGTTTTTATTTTGGGCTCGTATTCTTGTTTCGCTGTCATGTTTTCATTTTTATACATTTCTTGTGGCGTTGGCATATTAATAAAGCTCGGTCTCTTGGCTATTCATTCAATTTCGCTCAACTAGATTTGTCGGCTATTTTTGCAGCTGTTCGCAGTTTAGCTTTATGCATAATTATGAATAAACTGACAGAATTAACATATTGCGCCTATTAGCTGAACTAATTTTGGAATGATGGAACACCTGGAAAGAATATGCCAATTAGGAGAACAATGTCAATGCGAATTCCCAAGGGCTTATGCCAAGCGGCGTAATCGGTGCTTAAAAGAGAACGATCGCAGACGCTCGTAAAGTTGTTAAGCTTTTCCAAGTAATAAATACGTGATAAACAATAAAAATCCACTTGCATTGTTATCTACTCAAATGCATTGTTATAATTTCATAATGATGTGTAAGCTCTTCAGTTGTCTCGGTCTATTATACGCGTGCTTATGCCCATCTATCTCTTTCGCTCTTGTTGCGCTTGAGTGATTTAATTACTAAGAGGCAGCAGCAGCAGCAGCTGAAGTGGTCTAAGAGAATTGTAGACAAGCAGAGGTTGCGACGCTGCTGTGCAGTCAAGTGCGCCGGCTTCTCGCATATGTGTGAGGAAATGCAATATGTATGTGTGAGTGTGCATGTAACTGTTCGCTAGCCCTTTCTCATCAAACGTAGCAACAATTGCAACGCTTCGATAAACAACAACAAAACGAAACGGAAGAGAGCCAAGTCCGCCATCTTATCTTTTTCGAGTATACATAGTTTATGTTATTTTCATACTTTATATACATATGCATGTATGTATGTATGTACATTTCTTCAACTGAAACGGGGCTCCACTTGCTATTTTGAGCGTTGCGCTGCTTCTTGCCAGGGGTCGCATGCTTCGCTGCGCATATAGAAAACAGCCAAAAAGCCCCTTCTATCCCCTAACGCCGCCACCTACAACATGCACACAAATTTCCATAAACACAACAGCAGACAAGATTCATAAACAGCGCGACTTGTAAAAATAAACCATGTAAAATTTGACTTGGACACCCTCGTGGCAGCAGCTAATTATATAAAAATGCGACAGTGTGTGTGATAGATTGAGGCAATGTTATGACAGTCATTGAACCCTTGAGGTGTGATCAATATTTTTAGCTGAAGCCAAGCAAGCAGGAACTTTTTACCAATGCACTGTTTGTTCCCTCTGTCGCGTTGGCAAGGGAAATTTCGCTTAAGGGAAATTTAACTGTTGCGCACATTCAAACAATGCCACCGTTTAAGCTATCGCGCTTTGACTCTTTCACACACATACTCACGCACATGACTTTGTCATGCATCCCATGGCAGCGTCATCAGATTTCGCTTAATCGCATAAAAAAAAGTGCATTGTACGACTGCAGCAGCAACAGAAACAGCAATAGCGCAACAACAATAACAACACTCAATAGTTTTGACCTCTCGCCGGCCCTCGGCTATCGTCGGCCGTTTATTGCGCAATTATTTCTTGTTCTTTATTATATTTTATTTGCCCGTTCTCTATGGTCAATTTGCTCATTTGTGCTTTTACGGCTTCTGAAGTTGCATTGTGTTAGAGCGGGCAGCCTGCTCGCCCAGACAGACTGAAAGAGAATGAGAGATGGAAGGAAGAGGACGGCAGAGAGTGCGAGTATGTGTAATTGGTCTGACGCTTTAGTGGCTTCCGCTGCGGCAGAGCGGAAGCGGTTTTGCATGTACCAAAAGTAAAACAGTAGAACAGTGGTTATGCATGCATCAAAAATGAAAAACAGCAACAAGTTGTTCGCTCTCTCTCTTTCACTCACTGTTAGAAAGCAGCAATTTGTATTTGGCGCTGCCGGCCTACGCACCGGTTTTGCTGTTGTTGTTTTGTCATAGGTTATAGGTCACGTGTCGGCTTACATTGTCATTGTTGCCCACGTGCGTTGGCAATGTGGAACGTGTGGCAACAATTAACGCGAAGGCCTCTTTAATTATTGCCGGAAATGCTTGACAATTAAAGTAAAGGCGTGCGGGCGGCAGCGGCGGCGGCAGCGGCGGCGGCGTTTGTGTAGATCGATTTCAAAGTATATCAATTGGTGCGGCCCACGTTGGCGCTGCGTTAGTATTAGTGGTCAATTGACAGAGCTGCTAGATGAACTCAGCTTTTGAGTGGGTGAACTCTTCAATGGCGTGTGGCTTTCGCTTAAGCTTCGACTTGTAGGCTTGTCCAACTAAAAGCCCACATATTAACTCTCATTTTAGACGCCCCGAACCCACACACACACACACACATACATACATACAACTAACCTAACGCACACCTATTACCGGGAAAATTAGTTAGAAGAAAATGCACATTGCGTGGGCAGCGCATAACTCAATTTGTGGGCAGACTTGTGCGGCCAGTGTTGCCACTTGTCAAGCAATTCTCACACCCATAAAAAAAAAACAACAACTTCCATATTGGACTCTATGCGAAATTCTTGTGTGTGCAACAAATCAGCGTTGATTTATGTTAATTAATTGCGCCATTTATGAGGGACAGCAAATTAGCATATAATAAAATATATGTAACTGTACAACTGCACGCATTCATGATAAAGAATGCAAGCTTACAAAAGTTATTTGCTCTAAGGCGTAAATTGATTTATCAGTAGAAAATGTTTTACTTGACTCGCTCTCAAAGCGGTTTAGAGCTTTTATTTAAAGATATATACATAAATGTTTTTCATGCTACGGCTATATTAATTCATATTCTCAAGTCTTCTCGTAGCTAACGAAAGCTCACTTAAATATATGTATCATTATGTATTAGCTTATTATAAATCATATTGTTATTATGACCGCGTTATGGCTTGTAGAGCACTTAAAAAGTCTTCAAGGCACTTCAAATTCCAATCTAATGATCACTCAGCCCCACACACACAAATGATTCCAAACGATCAATTTACTCCGTCAGTCTTGTGATCTTCATCGTTGATCTGTTACATGAAGTTGGCCCACAATGGGCCATCTAAGCAATTTGAGTGCTACCTCAGCTATTTTTATGACACCTGCATGATTTTCTCATATATATGTATATGTTTTTTGTCTTTGTCTATTTTCCACCCGCAGCTGTGGCTGCCCCTTTGAGAGTTTACTCATCGATGCTGCAGTTGCAATTATTGTAGCTTGTTACAGGTTTTTTTTAGCCGAAAATAGTCAAGCATCTACTTTATATATATATATAGATATCTCCTATATATACAAATTTGGAGTCGTGGGAATTTTTTTACTTTTTGCTCACGGCCAGCGTGGGAAATGTTTGAGACGCGTCTGCACTCAACGGTAAATCAGGTTTTTCCTTTAGCCAAAAAAAAAAGTGTACGAAAATTTGCCTGCGATCGTTTGGCAGGTCGTTCGCTTCGTTTTCGGCTTGGCACGGTTCGGTTTTTCGCCAACGGAAAGACGTCGGCAAAACGCCAAAAAGCTCTCTGAACTTGTACAGCGGTCCCTGAATGATTGTAATGTGCGCATCAGATTGCCCAATTTGTGCCGAGCTGATGATGAGAGCAAAAAACTAATTGAAACCAAAAGAAATATTCAAATTGCAGCGATCAGATATACAAAACACATACATATATTATGATACTTTTGGATTTGTGTGGATCATTAACGCTGACTGCCGACTGATACATACATATATGATCATCTGTAATCACGTCAATAAAACCGAAATTTCGATAGGTCTATGTGATTTCCATATGATAAGTCCAACTGATTTCACAGAAGTAAAGATTTTACATGCACGATCAATTATTTTGATTCATTCTTATCTTATTTGCGTTCTTATTACATACCCTATGTTTTAATGGATTATCTGTTAGTCAGCTGTATCAACATTGGAACTAAACTAATATACTTATCTGTATTTGCGATAATCAGCTGATATGAATATTTGTAGGTGTCGGTAATTGTATTATCTATAAATGTGTATAATTACGCTCTATCTAGAGTCGACCCACTCCATGATCAATTGACTGTCCATAAGATCCCACAGACGATCTACATTGCGTTTGCTTCAGTTGATTCGATTCAGTAGTCCTTCAGCCCCATGATAATTAGTGATCAGCAGTTGATCATTTTCCATCCGGCATTGCTAATAGAATTAGCCCAGCCGTCATGAACCCAACTCCGTTTACCAATTGAGCGGCCAGCTAATTAATTGACCAAAGTTGCCAGCTAATTGAAATGATCGTCGCGTAGCCCGTTAACCGTTTGATTTAAGCGTTGGCTCCAACAGAATACAGGGGAAAAACGATAACAAGAAGACATGATATTACGAGTATTTCATTCATGTCGACGATGTCTCGACTACTGAGGTCTGGGCTTTGTCTGCATGTCTCACTCTCTCCCTCTCTCTCGCTCTCTTTCTATGTATGTCTGTCTGTCTGTGTCTGGGCAAAAAGTAGGCGTCGCAGTTGTTGCCGCCGCCGCCGCCAGGCGACATCCTGCAGCTAATAAGCCCCAATACACGTAGCCACGATGAAGAAGAAGCAGCAACAGCAGCAAATGCAGCGCAAAACGTGATTTCCGACTTCCTCGTTCATAAATATTGATGCAATGCATTCTATGCTCATGTAGCTGTTGGCCTAGCTGCCAGATCTTTGGCATTATTTTGAACTGGTCTGCTGCCGCCACTTCAGCTTGTTCTTCTTTTTCTTCGTCTTCCCTTGAGCTGCTCTCAGCTAAGCGGAAGTTGAGCTGCTGCTGCTGCTGCTGCGGCTGCGGCTGTTGCTTCCTTTGAGCTCGACTTCCTGGCTGCGCCGGAAGCGCACAAGTTTCTGCTCTTTGGGTCTCGACAGTCACAGATTTGTCTGCCTTTATGCAGCTACCACTTTCTCCCCCTATCTCTCTATCTCGCTCGCTCTTCAAGTCTCACCCCTATTTCATTCGGGGCAACGAACGCATCGTATTTCAACCCTCGACAGAGATACTTTGCCTCTGTCTCTAGCTTAGTGTCCAAATTTTTTGTTCGCTTTTCGTAATTTGAACATCTGCCGTTTCTTTTTTCTTTCTGTGTATTTTGGTGTTCTCTAGCAACCCTTGTTGATCGCTTTGCTACCCTTAGCTGCACTCAGCGAGGGTTGTTTTACCTGTCTCGGTGCAGCTGCCTCGCCGAGGCACGAGCAGCTGCCACATGCCGCCTGATCAAATAATGCCCAAATGGATCCTTCAAGACGCTGTGCGACCGCCTGTTGTGCGTGCCTCTCTGTCACTCCACCAACTGCAATCTCCATCCCTCTCTCGCTCACGCCGTCTTTGAGCCATTGTTGAGACGGTGCCACGCGCCGCGTATCAACATGGTAATCAGTCTGCCGTCTGTCCGCTTCATTGTCCTGCTGTCGCATTTGCTGCGGCTGCTGCTGCTGCTGCTGCTGCTGCGGCGTTCGTCTCTCCTCTCATCTTGCGATCTCAGAGGCAACTGTTGTCTGGCATTCCGCCGCATTCCATATGCCCCAAAGCCTCGAACCTGTCGCCCAGAAATACCTGAATCCTCATTATTATCGCAACCAACTTGAGGCACAGTTTTTACTGTTCGTCTGGTAATTTGTCTTGCAGCTGCTATCGCTCTCAAGGGCTCTCCATGTGCATTAATTGTGACAATCAGTCGGAAGGCTATGCGATGTAGAAAAGGTGTTTAATCAATTTCGTTGATGAACAGTCGATTGAAGTTAACATGTCATTTAACACGCAGCTACAAAGGCTAAAGGTGTTGGCTATTTAACTTGCGGATTTTTCAGAAGATAAAAGTTGCTCAGATGTAGCTTCATGTTGCCATTCCAGTGTAATCAATCTAATTACCAGTTGCATTTAATCCTCATGTCAAAGTTTTATGATTTAGTCTCAAGTGTCTCCCATCAAAATTGTTATTATACCATCTAAAAGTTATTTGAGCTGACGATCTGGCAACCTTCTCTTACCTAACTTCAACAACAGTTACAATTCCCAGATAGATTTTTATAGCAAATAGCAGCTGAGCTCTCGAGTTACATGGAGTCATAGAAAAATATACTTAGTAGCTCGCGCAGGTAGACTTCAAGCATTTTCATTTGACTGCACACACACTTCCTCCCCCTCTCTCTCTTTACACCTCCCTCTTTCTTTCTTTATCTCTCCCTCTCTCTTCTCCCTCGGCTGAGACATTCAACGAAGCGTATGGATTCCTAAGCCCATGTGCTAGTTCTCATATTACAAAACTCTTTAACAGTAGCCCCTCAAACAAGAGGCATTAACCCCTTCGACATGCAGACGTACCCCTAAGAGTCAGATCGCGCAGCACGTGACTTTGATGTGGGCGCAGATTATTGAACTCTTTATTCCACTTTTTTTTTTTCTCCTGTTTTTGGATTGACAATTTTATGAAATAGCTTTTCGATCAACGTTCGATACGAGCTGAGAGAATTTATAGCAGCTGTCGCTGCACGAATTTCTCGGAAGAGTTCAAGTGCAGCGAGTTCCAGAGAAAGGTACGAAAATCATATGTGACGAAATGCTCAAGTGTTTGGCAGAGTTATCAAATACATTTCCTGGCTTGTTGATGGAATCTCAGATGGAGTCTTAATATAAGAAACAAAACCTTTATTTATATAAGTTTTAAGCTTTAGAAATAACAGATTATACTTATTGATGGGCATTTTTGTTCAAACTTAGGGGCTTCATTATTCATTTAATCAGTTGAATTAAGCTTTTTTACCAGTAAACTGAAATCTCTTACTTCATCCTGATTTTCTACCGTTCTTCGATTCTTTACTCATCCCAACATTTCTCCACTTTATTTGCAGTTCGCCGCTCGCCCTCCTCCTGCCCGGGTCCAAATAATCTGCCGCCTTTGCAATTCCATACGGTGCACGGCGACAATATACGCATCTCGAGAGATGGCACGCTGGCGCGTCGCTTTGAGAGCTTCTGCCGTGCCATCACCTTCTCGGCACGTCCGGTGCGCATCAATGAGCGCATTTGTGTGAAGTTTGCAGAGATTTCGAACAATTGGAACGGAGGCATTCGATTCGGTTTCACCAGCAACGATCCGGCCTCGCTGGAGGGCGCATTGCCCAAGTACGCGTGTCCCGATCTCACAAATCGTCCTGGCTTCTGGGCCAAGGCGCTGCACGAGCAATACTGCGAGAAGGACAACATTCTGTACTACTATGTGAACAATGCCGGCGATGTCATCTATGGCATCAACAATGAGGAGAAGGGCGTCATTCTATCGGGCATCGATACGCGCGGCATGCTCTGGACTGTGATCGACATCTATGGCAATTGCACGGGCATTGAGTTTCTGGATGCACGCATTTATATGTACCAAACCCAGCAGCAGCAGCAGCAGTTGCCACAGCAGCTGGCACATCAGCAACTGCAACAACAACAGCAGCAGCAACAGCAACAGCAACAACAACAGCTGCCACAGCAACAGCTCTCCGCACACCATCCACTGCAGCAATCGCGTCGTTCGCTGCCAGGCGGCGGTTCCGGCATCGTGGCGGACCACGAACTGGAACGACATGTGATGCCATCGCTGCAGTCGCTGCATCTGGCCGGCACAGCCGCCGGCATTGTGGAGCACGATCTGGCGAATGGCTTGCCACCGTTGCGCTATAACGCCAATGGACGCCTGATACCCGTGCCCTTCCACATTACCAAGGGTCGGAATGTGCGGCTGTCGCACGATCGCTTCATTGCCTCGCGCACCGAGTCGGACTTCTGCCAGGGCTATGTGTTCACGGCGCGACCCATTCGCATTGGCGAGAAGCTGATTGTCCAGGTGCTCAAGACCGAACAGATGTATGTGGGCGCTCTGGCGCTGGGCCTTACCTCCTGCAATCCGGCGCTGCTGCAGCCAAACGATTTGCCCAACGATTCTGATTTTCTGCTCGATCGCCCCGAATATTGGGTGGTCAGCAAGGACATTGCTGCGGCGCCGCAGCGTGGCGATGAGATTGCCTTCTTTGTGGCGCCCAATGGCGAGGTCAGCATCAGCAAGAACAATGGGCCAGCTGTGGTTGTCATGCACGTGGATCAATCCCTCCAGCTGTGGGCCTTCCTCGATGTGTATGGCTCGACGCAATCGCTGCGCATGTTCCGTCAGCAGCTGCCCAATATGGTGGCCTATCCCTCGCAGCCGCAGTTGGGCGCAGCTGGTGCTTGTGCTGCTGCCGCTGTCGTCGCTTCCTCCACAAATGCCTCCAGCTCACGCATGCTGCCCATGACGGAGTCGCTGAACAGCCTGAATGCCACACAGCTGATGGGCGCATCCAAAATGCAATTGAATGTTACCCAGTCGACGAGCACCTTGGCCACCAATGGCAACGGCAATGGCAGCCGCATGATCAGCATGCCCTCCAACGGCGACATCCTGCAAATCCAGCCAAACGGCGGCGGCACCGTGCTCGTCGTCAATCTGCCCCCAGCCAACAGCTCGCACGATCTCAATGGCCAGCTAACAGCTCGACAGGTCGGCCCGACAGCGACCACTGTTAGCAGCAGCGGCATTCTAGCCGGCGCCTGCTCTAGCGGTACCTTGATCAGCACTACCAGCAGCCAGCAATACATTGAGGTGAGTTGAATACATCGCAACTAGCTAAAATAAATATGTAGAAGAAAAGGGTATCAATTTTATCAATATGAGACTGTCAATTCTCAGTTTAATATTTCTGCATTTACTTTTTATAAAAAGTTTACTTTTTCAAATGTTGCTGTTCCGTTTATCCATCAAACAGAAAAGTCTCATATATAATTATGCATATTTATCCTATTAATATTTGGTCACACTTATAATTGTTGCTTTCTGGCAGCACACACAAAAAGCTAAGTTGGCTGCATCATATTCCCACTGAAGTGATTTGAATAGCTGATGAACTGCGCTTATTCAAAGACATTTTAATAACAATTTTTAATTATATAAAATACTAAATAAATTTTCTTTCTCGCCTTGCAGCCCGTTGCCCAAAGCACAAACACATTGAATGGCAGCAAATGGAAGGACAGCCTCAGCGATCAGCAGAGCACCGACTCTAGTGCCGAGTGCACGATTTGCTACGAGAATCCCATCGATTCGGTGCTCTACATGTGCGGGCACATGTGCATGTGCTACGATTGCGCCATCGAGCAGTGGCGTGGCGTTGGAGGTGGACAATGTCCGCTCTGTCGAGCGGTGATTCGCGATGTCATTCGCACTTACACCACTTAGAAAAAAAGCAAAAATAAAGAAAAATTAAACAAATACACTTTGAACATCCATCAAGAAAGCACACTCACTAAACAGACGAAAAATAACAAAGCGATGCATTTTCTCTTCAAAAGACGCAGCAATTTCCTAACTTAGAACTCGCATTCAAAATAAGCATAAAAAAAAACCATACAGAAATCAATTTAATATTTTATATACTACAAAAATCTTAAAAAATTCAACACAAAAGTTTTTAAAATTAAAAAACAAAAAAAAAACTGCTTAGTATTAGCAACTAGTTTTGATATTACAAAACTACAACCTGAAACAATTAACTGATAGCTGATATCAATATTTTTGCAAATATTTATAAGAAAAACTTTAAGAAACTGCAAAAAGAAAAAAATACTATGACTTTATTTATGCTTAATATTAGCTCTACAAATATGATTAGTGAATATATACGTATATATCTATATATATTTAATTTTTTGTGATTTTAATGCTAAGTGCTAAAGATTTGTTTCAACCTAATTTAAATATATATATATAATTATTAAATTTTTTTAAAGAATTCAATTGCGATGTATTAGAATGTTACATAAATTTAAAAAACCAAAGTATTTTTATATAGCTCTTAGTTTCATTGGCATTGACGAATTGAAAGAGTTGTTGCAAATTTTCGTATGATTTTCGAACGAAATTTCCAAATTTTTGTGCAAAAAAGTGAAAACCGAAATCAACTTAATATATATTATATTTTTTATTTGAATCAGTTTGGTGCTAAATGTTTTGGATTATTATATGAAATTGTTAAGATTTAAATATAGATGAAAAAATTGAATTAAGTTTGCAGCAACTGGAAAAAATGCACAATGAGAACCTTAATGAGCACATAGTATACATAGAAGAACCAAAACTCTGCCGTCAACTAAAACTAAAATAAAATATTTTATATAAATAATACTTGAAAAAATCACACCTAAAAAACACCAAATGAAAAACAAAAATTATATTAACCACAAAATATTAAGGAAAAATGTTGATTTTGCACCAAAATAGACAAAACAAAATATTTCAATTAAGTTTAATCTATAAGTACTTAAGTTAATTTCTAGTCAACGAATTATGCTGAAGTTTAGTAGAAAAGACGATTTCACTTGGAAAAAAGTTTATAAGATTAAAAAACAACGCACGCTTTGCAATTTTAAGGAGATGCATTTTATGAGAACTATCATTAAGTAGTGCACAGTTTTAAACAAAAAATAAAACAGAAACCAACATAGAACAAAAGACTTTGCTTGAAAAAATAAATATTTATGAGAAATGGATATAAATTATCATATATAATCTAAAAGGATAATGAAAACATGCAGTTAGAGAATTGCCAATAATTAATTAACACACTCACAAAACACTGACTACCAACCAGAACAAATATAAACTAAACTTTACCTAAGATTGTATTAAAAACATGAATTGAAACAAAAGCAAAAAATAAATAAATAGGAAATGAAACAAAGAATTTTGCTAAATGTAGCAGAAGCTACTGAACTATTTTTGTTATAAGAAAGATGAATTTCAGATGGAAAAATGAGACATATGTTATTGCCACTATTGATAATTAAATTTAATTTTTTTAAAAAACTTGTACTATTTCGAAATTGAATGAAATGGAACAATGCCTAGTTATGAATAAACAATGTATTTATGAAACTATATATGAAATATGTAAGACAATGCAATGCTGTAATACCATTAAATACTTAACAAGAACATTTAAATTCATGAGAAGTTTTATTTAATAACAATGACTGGGTTTCTTTGATAATAGTTGTGTTGGTGGAGTTTATTTATATTTGAATTTACGTTGCGTATTAGGGGCATCGATTTCTTGCGATACTTTATGTACATTAAGAAGTATCGATATATTTTAAATCGTGTGGCAGCACCACAAAGTTGGGAAACCGCGATAGGTTAATCGACATTTCGGTATTTATGTCTGCTGCGGTCACACAGCACACAGTAAACAGTTTTAGATTTTATCGTGTGTGTGCAATTCGTGGAAGAAAATTTGGTAATACGCAATGAAATTTGGTGAAAACTTTCATCAGTAGCGCCAGAAAGTGATAAACATAAACTAATTTACATAGTGTTTGGTGAACAATGTAGAAATTGCTTATATATATACTTGATTCGTTGTGTGTTTCCAAAAACTGTCCATATACACTTGTATACACACACACATGCACTCACATATACAGTGGCAAACGTAGACAAAATACTAAACCCTCCCTCAACTCACGAATCATTTTTCAGAACCGTGCGCTGGGCCGTCGCGGCAAAGCGACCCACATAAAGAAAGCGAACAGCAGGGCAAAGCAAAACCAAGAGAAGTGCTCATAAATACACCGACCAACACACACAAACAAAAACACATACAAGCAGACACACATAAGACGTATACATCGAGTGAAAGAGTGTGCTAATTAAGTATTCGGATCATGGACGATGCCAACATACAGGACAAGGAGCGCTTTGCTAGCCGCGAGAATCACTGTGAAATCGAACGACGCCGTCGCAACAAAATGACCGCGTACATAACGGAACTCTCAGACATGGTGCCTACCTGCAGCGCGTTAGCACGCAAGCCCGACAAGCTGACCATCCTGCGCATGGCAGTGGCTCACATGAAGGCGCTGCGCGGGACTGGAAACACCAGCAGCGATGGCACCTACAAGCCCTCCTTCCTCACAGACCAGGAACTGAAGCATTTAATCCTGGAGGCAGCCGATGGTTTCCTATTTGTCGTCTCCTGCGATTCGGGTCGGGTGATTTATGTCTCTGACTCAGTGACTCCGGTACTCAACTACACACAAAGCGATTGGTACGGCACCAGCCTGTACGAGCACATTCATCCAGACGATAGGGACAAGATACGCGAACAGCTGTCCACGCAGGAATCCCAGAATGCGGGTCGCATTCTCGATCTGAAGTCGGGCACTGTCAAGAAGGAGGGCCATCAGTCCAGTATGCGTTTAAGCATGGGAGCCCGTCGTGGCTTCATCTGTCGCATGCGCGTTGGCAACGTCAATCCCGATGCTATGGTCTCTGGACATTTGAACCGCCTGAAGCAACGCAATTCGCTGGGCCCTTCCCGTGATGGATCCAATTATGCTGTGGTCCACTGCACAGGCTATATCAAGAACTGGCCACCCACGGATATGTTTCCCAATGTTCACATGGAACGTGACGTGGACGACATGGCGTCCCACTGCTGCCTGGTGGCCATTGGCCGACTGCAAGTAACCTCAACGGCGGCCAATGATATGACCGGCAGCAACAACCAGAGCGAGTTCATCACACGCCACGCCCTAGATGGTAAATTTACGTTTGTTGACCAGCGTGTGCTGCACATCCTCGGCTATACGCCCACCGAGCTGTTGGGCAAAATCTGCTACGACTTCTTTCACCCGGAGGACCAGAGCCACATGAAGGAGAGCTTCGACCAGGTGCTCAAGCAGAAGGGACAAATGTTCTCGCTGCTGTATCGTGCGCGGGCCAAGAGCTCCGAGTTCGTTTGGCTGCGCACCCAGGCCTATGCGTTCCTCAATCCCTACACAGATGAGGTGGAGTACATTGTGTGCACGAATAGCTCCGGGAAGACCCTCCATGGCGCCACTCCCGAGCAGCAGCAGCAGCAACAGCAGCAGGTGGAGCAGCAGCAACATGTCTATGTACAGGCGCCGGGTGTGGATTATACACTGCAGCCGCCTCGACGTGAGATTACGCCAACTGGCGGCGATGCAGGCATCTATCAGATGCATATGCAGGCGCCCCCGCCGCGACCCGCTTCGGCGCAGAATACACCGGTGGCTTATAGCTACGATGCTACGCACTCACCGTATGGAGCGGCAACAGGTGGAGGTGGCGGCGGTCCCTCACCTCTGGCCAAGCTGCCCAAGTCGGGCACTTCGCCCACGCCTAATGCCTGGGGCGCACGTCCTATGGCCGCGCAGCAGCAGCCGCAACCCACTGCCACCGAGGGGTATCCAGCCTATCAGCAGAGCAGTCCGGCCCGCTCCCCGAGTGGCCCCACCTACACGCAGCTCAGTGCCGGCAATGGACAGCAGCAGCAACAACAACAACAGCAGCAGCAGCAACAACGTCAACAACAGCAGCAACAGGCTTCGGCTTATCAAACGGCACCAACGGCAACACCTTGGGATTGGCAGAATGCAGCGGCATCACATCCGGCGCATCCGCATCCCCATCCGCATCCGCATCCGCATGCTCATCATCCACATGCACATACGCATGCGCATCCAGGCGCCGCCGTTGCAGGGGGCGCACAGCAGCCTCAGGGTCAGGAGTTCTCAGACATGCTGCAGATGCTCGATCACAGCGCTACAACAACATTTGAGGATCTAAATATTAACATGTTTAGCACGCAATTCGAGTGAATGTAATGCGAATCCCTCCATATCTCTATTTCTCTCTCTTAAACCTACATTATTCGGAACTCCTTCTGGTAGGGATGAGCGCGTGTCTTACTCCGTAATTTTTAGTATTAATATTTTGCAAATTCCAATTTTCAAAGCCAATCGTATTTGCTCGTGACACGCGCTAATCTCCAGTTGTCGACACAAAGCTCAGTTTTTAATTATTTTTCAAGTGCAATCTATAAGAGAAACATTTTCTACAAAATTGTTGAAATATTTTAGCCAGCATACAAATACATATTGCCTATGTACAAACGCTTCAAGTCAGAAGATATAAAGCGAAACAAATGAAATTGTAATCTCGTAAATAGGCACTTAGGTACATAACGGTAGTCACGTACCGTACACGCTCTCGATATCGATATCATTGCTTGCTTCCACATGAAAAGCCGCCAATCCGCACATAACAGACACACATACAAACATATTCAGAGACAAGACCCCTGCCTCTGCCTCTGCCAAGCAGTGTAAAAGTATTTGAAATAGCTGTAAATCAACGACACTCATTATGCAAATTGCAAAGTTCATTAACGAACAAATGAACACAATTTTTATAAATATATACATACATATATACATAATTAAATACTTACAAGTGTAATTTCTAGACTAATAAACAACACAATTCTAATTGTAAGCACTGGCATACAAACACACACACATACACAAACAATTGGCCGCGCTCTTCGTCTCTTATCCACACACACTAACACATTCGCATATTGCGCTGCAACATTGACACCAATTTTTTGTTGTCGCTCAGTTTTTGCTATGTATTTTTCATGCGGAAAAGCAGTTCAAGTGCACATACTGAAAAGAATAATTGCTTAATTTCCATTTTTTCCGACAAATTTGCTAAAAAGTGCAAGCTTAACTTTGAACAGTCGCGGATAAAATAACATGGCAGCTACAAATTGACGCATTACATACATACTATTTCCATTTTATAGTTTTAGACACACAAATTAGCGAATAAAGCGTATGGCAAACAAATTAAGAGAACAACAAATTTAAATCAATTTTTATATGCTAAGCCTTTGTAATTAAGCAAAAAAGAAAATGCTATATACATACTTATGTAATAGAATTGGGTAATGAGAACAAATCTTTTGGTTTTTAATGCAAATAAATTTTAAATACTATGAAAAACAATTCTTAAATTTATGCTTTACATTTTCATTATTAGATCAGCTTAATTTCATAGTTCAATTTTAACAGTCAGCTGGCTCTGCTTTGACCGTAATATCAGCGCTCTCTCCTGTCTTAATTATGTCGCAACGTGGCCGCTTGGCGGCGTTTTGAGCATGCGGTGAAGTTGGACTGCGTTTGATGGCATCGATGTTGGTATTCTGCTGGGGCTGCTCCTTTACTGTGGAGGTGGATTTGTGTTTCTGTTTTTGTTGCTGTGGCTTGCTGCCAGTTAGCCAGGCCAACATGCCTTTTGGCTTTTCCGGCTTGGCGCCCAACTCAAATGGCTTGTTGCATTCATCGCTTTTGTTCCGCGAATTGTTAACCAATTTACCAACGCGATGCCACTCCAATGCCGTAGCAGGACGCAGAGCAGCCAAGGCTTGAGAATCACTCACATGCTTAAAATTCAACCAGTCCTAAAAAGGAAATTCTGATTAGAAATAAATGAAATTATTACAAAGTTACTCACATTCATTTGCTGCTCTGTTTCGAGAATCGCTGGCATGCGGTAGTGCATCCAGGACATAATCTTGCTAGATTGGAATGTAATGATACTGTAGCTATACATTTTGTCGCCGCTCTCGTCCTGCCATACATCGAATAGACCAGCCATACGCAATAGTTTCACATTTGCCGGCGACCATGTGCTTTTGTCATAAATCTTCACGTCCGACTCCTGTGGCGCGTAGACCAAATATGCCTCTCGATCCGATGGCTTCGCTGGTTTTGTTGTTTGCCATTCGTAGAAACCTTCACATACAACAACACAGCGCTGACCGCGCTTAAACGGGCCGCGATACAGTTTTGAGTCCATCAAGTGCTCCAGCCGACAGTTGTTTGTGGTTAGCCCATGCTTACGATAGTCGCCCTTGTGCCAGGCGGGGATCATGCCCCACATCATGGGCATAACAACACGGGCAGATTGTTGATCCTTAGCCTCACTGAAATGAGCCGCAGAGACACTGGAAAGATGATCAACAAATTTATGTCTGCTCACCATAAGTCATTAGTTAAGGCCAACCTACATAACGGGTGTTATATCTGTAGGCGCTATGTTATACGAGGCATGATAATGCCTTCCCAAATTGAACTCTGCGCGCCATTCGGGTGTTACGAATTCCTGCTTGATTTCCTTTTTGTCTTTCACTTCATTGTGTGGAGGGTATTTGCATGCGCATATTACCTGATCCGGATCAAGTGTTCTGCACAGAAAATCTTTAATAACAATTTAGTTTAAAGTCAATACGAATTACTTACAAACAAGTTCGACCACACATTTTGTTTATTTACAGCGCAATAACAGTTTGTTAGCAGTCGTTCCATTCGTTCGCTCTGTTCAAACGAGCTAGTTCAGTACATCATTAAACACCACCACTGAACGAACACGGCTTTTGGCGTATAGCATCAAATTTTAGTTTGCTGCAAAAAATGGGCGAACGTTATAATATACACAGTCAATTGGAGCATCTTCAGAGTAAATATATTGGTACTGGACACGCGGATACCACAAAGTTTGAGTGGCTTACCAATCAACATCGCGACTCACTGGCTAGCTATATGGGACATTATGATATGCTAAATTACTTTGCCATCGCTGAGAACGAATCAAAAGCGCGAGTACGATTTAATTTAATGGAGCGAATGCTGCAGCCTTGTGGACCGCCTCCAGAAAAACTTGAGGATTAAGCAATAATTATTAAAACAAAAATATTAAATGTATTAAAACCACGCAGCGTCTAGTTAAATAAAATAGGGCTGGAATAACAAGTATGTTTTTGAGTATTGATAATTTAGTATTTTTTGATTTGTCGATGTCTGGTCGCACCTCAGTTGCAGTCGGGGAAAGCTTTCAACTCGATATAACTTATTTTCGTTTCAATTATATATATTTATTTCAGTGCTAGTGTTTTATTTAAATAGTAAATAATAATTAATTAGTCAGTGTTACAGCACAATAATATACATGTATGTGTACTAAAAATGATAAACGCAGTAACCAATAAAAAATTAGAACGTGTATAAAAGAAATACATACATACATATATACATATGTAATACATGCATAAGTACTTAAATGCATCAGTATGTAATGAAAAAATGCCACACAAATGCAATAGAATCAACATAAAAACGTCTGCGGCTATAAAGCAACTTATTTCAATTTGGGCACAATCAGAATTTGCGGCGAACAAAGATTTCAGCTGAAATTATTTTCGATTGCGTAGATTGTATATGCATATACATATACATACACATACAGTGAAAGGGTGTATACATGTGTCTAAAGATGAATGTACCATAATTACGCGCCGTTCAATTCTGAAAACGCAAAAGTTTAAAAATAGTGTCACATATAATTAAATATAATTTCCCACAACAAACGACACTAAGAAAACCAACAAAGCAGCTTTCTTAATGAGTGTTTCTGCGACAGCGTGCAAATGTCGTTGTTATTTAACAAGTTACAGTGCACCGAAAGAAGAAGAAGACGTTGTGCTACTATCTGACATCTGGATAGCTTCAGTTTCACCTACATTTACGCATACACAAGCGTTCAGTTTAATATTGCGCTTCCCCCGAGACAACCTACAAAATATTGTTTGAATAAACACTGCAAGTCATTTAAATAGTTAGTGTGTTTATCAGCTGCCAATCAGCTTGTTGGGTCATGCGCTTTAAATGAGCCGTATCTATTCGTATGGCCATTATTGTATGGTGTGACAGGCAATTGCGAAAAGCTCATGCAATTCCATTTGGCGTTGCCACATGCTCAACATATGATATGGTAACGCCAATGAAAAAAGCAAAGCATTCCGTATTTATTGTAGGAATTTGTGTTTTCTACAAGATGTTGAAATTGTTCATTCACAATTTCTTTATATTTGATGCATGCATTTGGCGCCTTTGTCTCTGCTTTATTTATATTTGGCCATTGCACTACGTTTTTGGCAAAAGTGGCAGCACTCTCTGCTCAGCAGGAGGTGGATAGGGGGGCGAGCAAACAGCGCAGCGACACACAAAAGCACACGACGACGACGACGGACGGGTCGAATGAGTTGAAAATTTTCGCGAAACGAAAAGTTAAAAATAAATGTTTACTGTGCATGGTTCAAACACATAGTATATATAATTTTCATAGTACTTAAATATTATTGTGCATTGTGTTTATGGTTTTCTCTTTGCACACTGCCAGTTAGTCTTTAATTTTGCTATTATATTAAAAAAAAAAAATTGATAGCCTACAAGCTTGTGTTAGTGTGTGCTGCCAATGCAAGACGTAAGAGGGGGAAAGAAGTGTGTGCGATTTATACCTTTTGCCTGTTTCTATTCATTTCATTTTCGGACGACAAACGCGAAAGGTAACACCAAAAGAGAAAGAACCGTAATCGTCTTCTGTTAGCTCTGCAAAGAAAGGCGCAAAGAAAATCAGAAAGCAGAAATAAAGGAAAAAATCGTTGCATCTGCGAGGGCGTGCAGCGCTTGTGAGAATAGTGTATACATGTGTATGTGTGTGTGCGTGTTAGCCTTGTTACTTAATTTGGCCGTTTTTCCTTTGTTGTCATCTGTTTACATTCAATGACTGACAAGCTCTTATTTTCCACTTGCATTGCATTGCAGCTCCTTTGCATTCTACACATGTGTACATAGGAATCTCCAATTTAAAATATAGTGTGAAAAAGAAAAAACCAAACGAAACGAAGTGCTGAAAGCTCAGCCGAAAGTTCATTGAAATAAAATAAATCGAATTCATCGGAAGAACGGTAGAACGTGTGCCTAAAAAAAGGAACGGCACCTACCGAGTGGACGTGAAGACGTCGTCGCTGCCGCTGCTGCTGCTGGTGGTGACCCTTCCGTTGTCGCTGCCACTCTGCTGTTGCTGCTAAATAATGAGTCGTCATGAAGGTAACAAACAACATACAAAGCTCCCTTCTCTCTTAATCATCTAAAAACCCTAATTGATTTGTGCATTTTGTTTAGGTGTCAGCTGCGATTCATGTCTAAAAAGTAACTTCACTGGACGTCGCTATAAGTGTTTAATTTGTTATGATTATGATCTGTGCGCCGATTGCTATGAGGATGGCGTCACCTCGACTCGCCATCTGGTTGAGCATCCAATGCAGTGCATACTTACCCGTTCCGATATTGAGTTATATTTTGGCGGTGAGATGCTAACAACGGATCAGCCGCAATCCTTTACGTGTCCTTATTGCAAAAAAATGGGCTTCAGTGATGCAACACTGTTAGAACATGTATCTGCCGAGCATACGGAGACCAGTTTGGAGGTCGTTTGTCCCGTTTGTGCCGGGTTGCCTGGCGGTGAGCCGAATCTAGTCACAGATGATTTTGCTGGTCATCTAACATTGGAGCATCGGCAAGGACCACGAGAGTTAATATCCTTTTTGATATCCTTTTGCAAAAACAACATCAATGAACTCATTTTCATTCATATTCCTAAAGTTAAAGTCAGCTGGGATAAAATCACTTTCAATTAATGCACAAGCAACTTATGCCGTAGTACATCCATAAACATAAATATTTTGTAGCCCACAATTGATTCATAATTAATACTCACTTATGCATAGATTTGTTTGATTATAACATCTAGGCTAAATTGCATATTAGGAATAGTTAGTGATTAAAATTAAGCATGGAGAATTTTTTCTGGCATAGATAAGTTATTATAAATTAAGACGAATCGAATTTTGTTTTGGTTGCCTTAACCTTTAGACTATACGACGAGCCCTCGGCCATACGCCATGGCGGTGGAGTGCGTCGCATACCAGGACGCACCTTGGGCGGGCCTCGAACCCGTCGCTCCAATATGCACTTTAGCTCATCGAGCGGACTGTCGGCATTATCGCCATCGGGTCGCGAATCTGTCGATCCCATTGCGGAGCTCCTCTCTCAACTATCCGGTGTTAGACGTGGCGTTCCACCAACATCGCAATTGCAACAATTGCAGATGCAAATGCAAATGGATCGGCAACAGTTGACGGTAAGCAGCGCATTTGTTGTTATTATGATCTTGTGTATATAAGGCAGAAGGAAAGCAAAAAGTCAGAAAAGAGCAAAACAAAAATAAAATAAAACTTGTGAATGTTTGCATTTAACGCTTTCGTTATTTTAGGCATCGCGCCAAATTGATCGACTGCCAAGACGCACGCATCCCATAGTCTCAACATCGAATTCGAATGCCACCATGGCCGAGGTGATCAGCGGCGGCGGTGGCAACAGCGGTGCAGTTGGCAGTGGTGGCATGAGTGCCAGTGGTGTGAGCGCACCGTCTAATCTGCGCACCACAGATTGGCCGGTGGGCGCGACCTTCTCATCGACCAGCAGCCATCAGCAGACGCAGTCGAGCAGCCTGGCCGCCAATACACTCAACGCCAGAGAAGTAGCCACAAATAATTTGATTAAAGAGTCCCCTATTGTTAAAGCTAATATAAATTAAATTGTGTCCTTGCAGGCGGTCGGCAACAATTGCATTGGCAGCGGCAGCGGCACTAGCAATGCGCTGGGCATAAGCGTCGGCACTGGTGGCTCATCGATAGCCAATGGCGGGGGCAACTCCAACGTTATGTCTGGCCAGGCTGGCGGCCAAGCTGCAGCTGGCGAGTCATCGCAATCGCAGTACTTGCTGGCCAAATTTATGCAGCCCACGCTAACGGATGCCGAGTGGGCGGAAATTGAGCGCAAGCGCGCCGATCGGTAAGATGATATATATATTTACATATTGATTAAAAAAATGAGTCGCTTATGTCTCTTCTGTTGGCAGCTCCATGTTTGTGCAGTCTATGCTGCTATCGTTGTTATGCACAGAGGAGCTAGAATTGAATGTGCCCAATGAGGATGGTGATTGTTTGGCTAAGAGTGATAATGTAAATAAGGAACAGAATGGCAGCGACAACAAGCAGCAGCAGCAACAGCAGCAAGAGGAACAGGAAACGCTGCTCAATAACAATGCCGATGAGCAGCAACAGCAGCAGCAGCAACAACAACAACAACAACAACAACAGCAACGCGCTGTGGTACGACAGGTGAATCAAATGCAACAGACCTCGCCAGAGGACTTCTTATGCGATGAATATCGCTACAAAAGCAAGAAAGCCAATAACCCAACAGCAACAACACAAACGAGCGGCACTGCTGCAACAGGAGGATGCGGAGGAGCAGGCGTCGTTGGTGCTGGCGGTGCTGGCAGTGCAGCAGCCGCTGCCGTTGGCAGCAGGCCAACAGCAGCTGATCGAGGTGGCCTCGAAAGACGCAGCCGGGCACAGCAAGCAGAGACTGCCACGGGCTCACAGCAGCAGTTGCAGCAACAGCAACAAAAATACAAACAGAACGCGAATGCGGCGGCAAACACAAATCAAATACCCGATACTAGGTAGTGTCTCACAACCATAACAACAAAAACATGTTGTAGCTGCTGCAGACTAAGTAACAACAGCAATACGCCAACAACAAATGGAACGCATTACCAACCACAGCAGCATCATCAACAAGAACACAATATCAATCAATACAGCAGCAACAACTACAACATACACAGCCGTAAGATTAACAACAACAACAACAAAAGGAACCGCAGCCGCCGTCGCAGCAGCAGCCGCAATTTTGTCAAAAACTATATTATATGTATCGTTTATTAAATATATTAAAATTTATATAATTATAAAAAAAACAATTGAACAGAGATGTGCAGAAAGAATAATTATTGTAATCATTGAATTAATTATAATTTAAACAAACAAAATTATAAATATTTATTAGTGTTATTTTGATTTATTTCAATCAATCATGGGACATGGAAAATCTCAAACTACCGATAATCCAACCATAGGTCTAATCGTCCCACAAGCCTAGTTTAAGAATATCTGAAAGTGGTTCTTAAATATGTTTACATGTATTTTAATTCAACTGCGTGGTATTGAGATTAATGGTTTAAAACTTAAAGCTTTTATTGCCTATTAAAAACTCAAAACAGAAGAATTTAATACACTTAATTAGGAACACTAATACCTGTATATGTGTTTCGCATATGAGATTTTTGAAAAACCGAACGTTTTAATTGAAATGAACATATATGCCTTACGTCGATAATTCTAATAGAATATTTAACAAATACTTAAAGCTGGAAACATATTTAAGCTCGAATTCATCCAATGGCCTAGCTTTCAACTCTCTCGATAAGCATAGCCGGCATCAATTCCAGATCTAGCGCGCTTTGAACACCTCGGGGTTGAATGCAGAACACATATTCGACGGCTTGCTTGACTTGCCGTTCGCTGGCATATGGATTCGCCAACACAATATTGTTAGCCAGCATTTTGGCCAGCTTTTTGAATAGAAAGCGATTGGCAATTAGACCTTCCTGCAGTGGACGCATCAAGTACCGCACGATCCAGGGTCGTATACGTAATATGCAGCTGGCCAGCAGCACCTCATCCACCAGATCGATGCTGGGACTAGTTATCTGCGTGGTGAACTCATCGTCACTGTCCTCCCCAAAGAGCATATGAAATTTATATCGTAAAGAGTCTTCACAGCGCCAATCCGCATCTAGCAGCTTCACCAAGCATGCATTGAGACGTCGACGCTGTGCATACAATTCGCAGGGCCACAGACTATTTCGAAGATCCGGAGTGCTTTTACTAGGCGGCTTAGTTGATGGCGTAACAGGCGATAATAGGGGCTTCAACTGCTCTGCCGCAGCGGAGTGTTCGTTCATATCATCTCCATCTGCCATGGCTTCTACATTAATACCAAATACGGCGCTTAAGTCAGTTGGCTCGTCGTTAAACAGTTTGGCCAGTTCCTGGCCTACGATATCTTCTGTACTGGATGTAGGTGTTACAGGCCTTTCGTTACCATTGACTTCTACCAACTGCTGCTCTTTCTCTTTGCCTTCAAGCTCTGCCAGCTGAGACTGAAACATATCGATTTTCTGGCACAGCGTATAGCTTGTATAGCTGTCGTTCCGCTCGTCATTTGGCATGCTTGTCGTTTGTGTTGCCTTGTCGACCAGCTGGTGCTTGGCTTTGGCATTGGTGTTCGCATATGATGCTCTTGTCGACGGTGAGTTTTCGTCGATCTGTTGTATTCGCTGTTGCATTTGGTCGAATAGTGCATCAGCCAGACGGCACTCCCGTGTGTTGCGTCGCACAGCGGCGATCTAAACAAAACAATCTTAACTAAAGCAGATCGATAAATGGCATTTTGGGATCACTTTACCATTTTTACCATAGCGCGCTGATAGAGCGGTGCCGCTTGACAGGCCTTAATTGCATGTGTCTCCATTGCCTTGACGCTATAGTCAATACATGCCCAGGCGGTTGGTTTGTGGTGGTTCCTGGAAGTGTCTGCCCAGACGCAGACGTTTTCTTGCAGCTGACGTTCTAAATAGCGCACATATTGCTGGCGCACCTGTTTACAAGAATTTATTTTATTTATTAATTATTGATCTAATAATATTCTTAGCTGAGAGTATTATGTAGTAGTTTTTTACCACTTCTGTTAGTATAACTGTTTCACTGTTGATACTTGTAGGAGCCATAATCTAAAATCTGATATATATGTTAATTACAATTATCTACCGCATTTCAGCTACTCTTATAAACAATTTACTTGGCTCAAAAGTTGCGCCCTCGTCCAAAAACAACAAAACCATACATTAGCTAGGCGAATTTGGTGATAGCGTTGCCACCTAATTGCGTTCGATTACAGCTGACGCATGCCTGTTTTTATTAATATATACAATATATTCGTTTTTAGGGCGCAGCTCCAATTTAAAAAATTGATATTCTTTTAATATTTTTATTAAATAAATTGTTGTGATCGTTAATTTCACAGGTAGTTGAAAGGGCTTTACATATTAGTTTTTTAACTAGTAGCTAGTTACAGGTTATTTTTAAATAAACAACTTTCGTTATAGTTATATTTAGAACAAAGCGCAAATACAATGCCTCGTTATCTTCTCTATTGTGTTGCTATAAATATATGTAATTGATTTTAATTTATACATAACTTGGGTAAAAATTGGTATTCGCCTCACTATGCTTACAGCATTTTATTGCCGTGAATATATAAAATTAAGAACAAATTTGCGAATATTGTTTACGAGCCCTTTTCGAAACAAAAAAATAAAGCGTATCTATGATTATTTTCGTTGAGTTTTTTTCTTTCTTTCTTTTTATAAATATAAGCAACTGTTTGGATTTTATGTGCTAACGCTTGAGCTGCGTGGGCTTTAATTTTGAATATCAGGTTTACCATCCACATTTCGAACCGATCCGTTGCAGTCGACCCGATCCCTATTCATAATAATATGGGAATTAGTCCAAAAACATATTGTCATCATCAAAAGTGAACACGTTGTTGCGCTGCTGCGTGGCTGGCGTAGCTGTTGTCTGATCCGTCTGTGCGGCTGTTGTTTGACTAGATGCATTGGAGGACGTTGGAGCTCTTGCAGTTGAGTTGCTGCTGCCACTTGCGCGTCCGCTGCCGTTCCCATCGGGAAAGCTATTTAGCAACGCATAGTCCTCATCGATGGAAGCGGCATCGTCGTTATCATCATTAGCCAGCGATTTGCGGCAAATGGGACAAGTGCTGTGCAGATTCAGCCATGGCACAATACAATTTTCATGATACAGATGCGAGCAGGGCAGCTTGCGCACTGACTCATCCAGCTTGAAATCATCCCAACAAACGGAGCATTGCATTTTGCGTTCCACTTCCTCGGCACTGATTTTCACATTTGGTATTTCGTTGATGCGTTGCGTGGACAATGGCGGTGGACCCGCTGTCTCCATTTGGTTGAGCATCTGTGTAACGATCGTATCGAGGCCTTCTCGACCCCACGCATAATCGCCCGGATTGCCCATGAAAAACATATGGGAATGACCAGTGCCGCCACCGCCGCCACTGCCACCTGGACCGGTTACAATTTCGGCTGTTGCGCCAGCCAAAGGCAAACTTTGCAGAAAATCGTATAGTACATTGTCCAAACGATCCAAGTTTGCTGGTCGCACTCGACCACCACCAATACTGGACGCCCCACCTGACGAACCGCTTGACACACTGCCACTGGAGGGGCCACCCAAGTGCACAACATTGGTGTGACGTCGATTTGGTTCGATTGTTATTTCCAAGTTAGGCACATTACGCATGCTGAGCAATGACACAATATCGTTCCTCAGGGAATCAACGTTGATTAGCCCGCTACCGCCAGCGCCGCTACCACTGCCGCTGCTAACGGCATTGGTGGCATCTGAGTTAGCCGCGTCATGATTCAAAGCACTGTTACTGGTGGAAGCTGACAATTCCGGTGCGTTTGCTGGTAGCTCCTCAACGAATCCATACGAGCAGAGTGGGCAAGTGTAATCGGTGTTCGGAATGTTGATCTCCACATTGCACATGTGACAGAAAAAACGCTTTGGCACCGTGGGGTGCTCTTCAACGACCATTGCCTCAGCCATTTTGATTGATGGATTTATCTGTGTGTAGTATGTCAAATATTTGTTGCCGTTGCACTAGCAATTTTGCACCAATTGTTATATTGTTGTTGTGCAAGCAAGCTGCAGTCGGCTTACCTATCGGCTTTCCAGGTTGTTGCTGCTGTTGGATGCTATTGCTTGTTTTGATTCGTTTGGGTTAAAACTGTGCGCGAGCAATGGAACAACGTAAGCTCAACCGTCGCCACTTCAAGCATCTAGTGTTGTTTTTAATGTACAATTTTATACAATTTTAAAAGGACATCGTGCTACTGCAAGATACTGCTACTCGATTACTTTGATGGCCGTCGATAGGTGTCTATCGATGATGCTAAACAGCTTTTAGAAATGTCAGCAACATACAGATATGGATATAAATAATAATGTCAATATTTTTGTTTTGAAAATGGTTTCAACCATATTTAGATTGATCAAATTCGTTAGGAGCCTATCTACCTCTCGAGAGGTACCGATAGATATGTGCGATGTGCGACACAAAGTTGAACCAGGAGTGCTTGGTACCTTTTTTAGCTTCGATATATAAGAAATATATCAACAAAAACAATTAACAGCAATGGTATATTCTTGTAATCGAATCTATCACATTAGACTTTCTAGTTGAAAGTAAATTCAGTGAATGTAGGAATACCCATATTTTCTTTATTTTTATTTACGTTATCTATGTCATTTCGATATCACTTCCGTACAAAAAAGTGCTGTTGTTGTGTCAAAAAATTTGCCGTCTCATTTAGTACATTAATATTAAGATCATTCTGGCAACGCCAAACCATAGTGGCAGAAACAAAAAGTCATCTTCGAAGCGGCGTTTAGCATTTAATTTTGCAAGTTTTATTTACGCCAGTCTTATTTGCGGAATTTAATCAAATTAACTATGTCTATTCTGGCCTATAACGGTGGTTGCGTGGTCGCCATGCGGGGCAAGGACTGTGTGGCAATTGCAACGGATCATCGCTTCGGAGTGCAGGCCCAAACCATTTCCACAGACTTCAAGAAAGTGTTTCACATTGCTCCGCGTATGTTTCTGGGATTGACTGGGCTCCAAACGGATATATTGACGGTGCGTGATCGTCTTATGTTCCGCAAGAATATCTATGAAACAAAAGAGAATCGTGAAATGGCACCCAAACCATTCTCAGCCATGTTATCCAGTTTTCTATACGAGCATCGTTTCGGACCCTACTTTATTGAGCCGGTGGTAGCTGGTCTGGATCCGAAAACTATGAAACCCTTCATTTGCAACATGGACCTAATCGGTTGCCCCAATGAGCCAGATGATTTTGTTGTGGCTGGAACCTGTGCCGAACAGTTGTACGGCATGTGCGAGACATTATGGCGCCCGGACCTGGAGCCGGACCAATTGTTCGAGGTGATTTCACAATCGATGGTAAACGCTTTCGACCGTGATGCGATGAGTGGTTGGGGTGCCACTGTCTACATTATTGAGAAGGACAAGATTACGGAGCGTTCCTTGAAAACTCGCATGGATTAGGCATTTCATTCTTTATTTTTCAAAATAAGAAACAAATAAAATTTGTAAGGAAAGGATATAATTGACTATAAATTTATTTCAAAGCCGTTCACTCGTCGACAAAATCCAAGGTCTGCAGTGCCATGGCCAACGCCGCTTCCTTGGTCTTGGCGCCGCCGATGAAGCCTGTGTGGTGCACAAATATGAGATCCTCAATCCCAGTCACTTGGCAGAGCTCCTTATCGCGCAGACCTCGCCAAGGTGTGGGCAGAAATTTACGCCCAATGTAACTACTAGGCGTGACGGGAACTCCAGCAACACGCCAGCTGTTTCCATCATTAAAGATGACCAATTTCGGCACGCCCTCGACATCATATTCCTTTTCTAGGCTGTCCAAATGTGCTTTCCACGGACAGAAGGTTTCTAGCAGAAGGATTTGCCTGCTCTCGTGGACCGATGCGGCTTTCTCCAAAGCCAGGCGAACATGATCGCGGGCTGCGATCCACGAGCAGGCAACCTCCAGTACGTTCTCGACAAACTCCTTGCCCGCAACTGACATGGCCATGTGGAAGCGTTGGTCAGTATCTGAATTCGTGTCCTGCCATGAGGGATTCAGTTTGCCTATGCGCGCCGATAGATGCGTGGATATCTTGTAGCGTGGCTCTGCACCATCGAACATGGGCACGCCATTGTCAATGGCATCGAGTTCGCAAATAAAATTTCGATAGATTTGTAGGAAAGCCAATTTCAGATTGGCTTCTGATAGTTGCACCTTTCGTTCTCGTTGCAAAATACTTTGTATGACACGCTCACCATAGAAACTGTAGACCAAGCCCGCGCTGCTTAGCCTGCAAAAGAGAGAGCATGGAAAACGTTTTTAAATCTGTTTATCTAATCATAGATTTTGTTTACCTTATGTCAAATTCGTCGCCGAGTTCGGGGTGCACCGTGCTGAAGGTCTCCTTAAATGTCAACTGATGATGATCGTACCACTTCTTTTCGTGATCGAAGACCCCACCAACATCCACAATTATATCACACTTGGCACGCAGTGCCTCATCGTCCCGACTGCGGAATATTTCAGCATTCTCGTATTCTGGCAATTGTTTGAGCATAAAACAGGCAACCACCTCGTCACAGTGGAACGTGCCGTTGTGCGTGCCAATTGTTAGGGGCGTGGGGCGTTTTGGTGGCGACGGTACTCCATTAGCAGCGGAGCTCATTGTCAATTTCCGAGTAAATTGGTTAAATACAACAATTGGTAGAAAACGCGGCAAGAATCGTGTTACCATTGGCACAATGTGTACACACCCCGGGAGTTTCAAACATTATTTCAGCTCAATAAGTGTGTACATACGATCAAAATAAACAATCCCATTGTGAATGAGTGTTTCACAGGGTGTACCTATAATGGCGCCAATTACGAAAAAGATTTGTTTCTTTAAGTTTCTAAACCGCGAAGTGCATTTATTATTTATCTTATTAACATATCTACAGGTTTCCGCGTATTTCTTAGAAATTCGCCTAGCCCTAAAGTCAAAGCAAAGAGACACGTCACAAAAAATACATATGTACATATGTGCGTTCGTATTGGCTTGTGCAATTAACAGTTCACAGCTAATTTATTAGACAAAACTTTTTATTGGTTCGACTAATGCGATTTTTGGCCTGTATTCGATGTTCACAAGAAAAACTTGAAGAATGCTCATCAGTGCGCGATCTGAGCTCAAAAGTAGCGAATGGATATTGTATTTATTCTAGATCCATCGGAAAATCAGGATATGAAAGAAAATGGCGGAAGCTCGCTTGCGCAGAAACATAAGTCGACAAACGCCCATGCTGTACGTAAATGTTTATATGTCTATAATAATAATAATAGTAAACATACATACCTAGTTATGTACGCGATATTCAACTATAAAATGAAAGTCATGCCTAGTATTTTTGCGCACTCAATTAAGTATTTACTTTGTGAGCTTACATAATCGACTGATGCCTTAAATTATTTAAATTTAGGATTTCCGTTAATTGTGCGGTGAGAGAATTTTTCGTTTGAAATGTGTTGCTCCCAGTGCGGGGCAATTAAAAAGAAAAAAAAAAAAAGGAATAAAAAAGCTATTAGACACTTGTGTAGAAGGCGCACTTAAATCACTGTCAATGTTCACGTGTGCGTGGCATCAAAATCGTTTATTTCAAATTGTTTGTAAATATGAACATACAAATGAGACATGTAGTTGCTGTCTCCCATGACCTTCGGTTGCATGCGACTTCGGAAATCGACAACGATTCGATTCGATGCGAAGTGAAACGACGCGTTGTAACGGAAATGCTAGTGTATTGCATTGAATTTTAGGTAAGAGAAATGAAGCACAATAAATCACGAAGCGCCTGCCCCTTACAAACAGTTTTCATTTCGAAGCGAAAACACACGACACCCATTATAATTAAATTGTGGCCAATTTTCGATTTGAACAACTATGGAATGTTTTTTGTTTGTTTGTTTGTTTTTTCTCCAGCGAAGCACAAAAAAACTATTTTATGGACTACTTATTTTTAACACCTAACACAGCAATTTAACAGTGCAATTTGAATTTCCGTCATCAGTCTCGAAAAGTAGACGCGCTTTCGATTTTATTGGTAATTCATTTTGAAACCTGTTTTAATTCGTCTTCACACTTTCTCTCCGTCCCACTCTGACACACACAGCTTAATTCTAAAGATTCCGTTTCATTTGCAGTTAGTTAATTGCAATGTGTGTAAATTCCCTCTATGCCTGTGCCAGTCTGGCAGCATTAGATGTTGTGTCGTCGTCGTCGTCGTCGTCGTTGTCGCACTTTTGTCGCTAACTAAAAGCTGCACTGCTTTGTTGAAGTACAATAACAATTTATGCTGTGTAAATGTGTGTGTGTATTATAAAGTGTGTCTGTTAGATATATTTCGATACCGGTTTGCGGCTGCTTGCACCAGTAAGCAAACTAAGTCGAGCTGATATATTATACTTATGATTTGAAATGTTGCTCTTCATAGAGATTGCCCAAATTAGAAGCCTATTAACTAAAAGTAATAGCAAAAGCTTTGCAAATAGTTATGCTTAAAGTGCTTTACTAGCATAAGTACATACGGCATGCACACATATGCACAAATACTTGTGTGCATGTGTAATTGAGCTTAAAATAAATTACAGTAATGGCCAGCCCTTGGGATAAATTAGAGTGACCCTCCTTTTTAAAGGAAATTTGAAGGATCTTATATAGAATTTAACGTACATTGTTCAATAAGAATTGTCTATCTATAGCTTATATCAAATATGAATATGAATACGTATGAGTGTAATGCAGGAACTGGTTGCAAGTAAAAAAAAAAATATAAAGTCTAAACTGTAAAAAAGTACTTAATGGTTTTGCTATCAATGCGATACGAGCAGTGCTGCCGGCAGCGCCGATGACCGAGCCGAGACTCTATTTTGTAAGCTGCGTTTTCAGTGTGTGTTTGATTGTCTAATGTTGTTGCTGTTGCTGTGGCTGTTGTTGTTTTGCTTTTGTTGTAAGTGACGAGCTAAGCTTCGGGCCTGTGTTGGGCTTTTAGGTTTCCGTTTTCAGTTTTCAGTTTGTTTTGACCGCGCGACACGTTCTGATGTTGGCCTAAAGCGAATCGCGTGAATTAAAAATAAAGTGTAAAGATTTTCAATTTAACGACAACAACATAGCTAAAAGCGCATCGAATTAATTATTTATAAATATACATATATGCATAGCTTGTTTTAGATAATATTAACCCAAAAGGTGTCTGCGTCAACTCGCGTTCCTTTCACTCGGCCTGAAGGTTTCTTTTGCCTCAAGAAGTTTGCGGTTCCGGCTGTGGCCTATGGCATTTGCATTAAGAATTGTTATTCAACTTGTGCAACGATTTTAATGTGGAGATTGCTCATTGAGTCGACCGATCGTAAAATTGTTGATGCCAAAGAAAAATTCGCTTCGATATATATATTTTTTTTCAACTGAAACGATCTGATGTGAAGAAGAAATTTAAAGATAACAAAAATATAATATTAATGCCTCTTGGCAATTTCTATATTGTTGAGCTCATTCAAATGTAAATTCCTGAAGCATAATTAGAAACCAGTTTCGAAAGTAAAAAAAAAAAACGCAACCGTGAATTGCTATATCTTTATTTATTGTTAAAAGCTTTGTTGACGCCTTCATCCGAGATGGTACCTCACAGCACCTGAGGGTGCCTACCAGCTGGCACTCAGAAATATCAGAAATAGCTTGTAAAACAAACAGAAATCGTAACAGCTAAATAGCCTACAAAACCATAGCAATAAATTCAACTTAAATTGATGTTAAACTCTTTTGCATTATACACTTGGCTTAAGTTACTGACAACGTCTTCAGCTCGAATTACTAACTGGTTTATGTGCTCATTGTGTGTCTTCAAGACTCTCCTGCAGACCCTGACCTACATAATGCTCATATCAGAGGAAAGATCAATATACATATGTCGAAATTTTAAGATGAGAGAAGTGTGATTTCAGGCTTTGGAGTGCGCTGAACCTGCTTAAGTCGTCGATCTCTCTCTTCTTCTTCTCTCTATCTCTTTCTCTCCATATTCACTGCATATTCAGTTGTTAAATTGTAAAGACTTTTAATGTACATATTATGTGTGCAAATTTTGATACCCGTACACTGAATATTTATAAGTGAATAATTTATAATCATTGAAAAGTTGTTCCCTTTTTTATATTTGCTTAACAACACCAAAGTTGATAATAAGTTCATTGCAACATTCCCCAAAAATGGCAAAATTCAATTAAAAGTAATCAACAATTACACATATTAACACGTAATAGGCCTTTGTGTCAGAAAAGTAATAATAATAGTAATAATAACAAACACGGCGCGACGTTCGTAGGCGCATAATAATTAAATATTAAATATGTCAAAGAAAGTCAACAACAAATCGCTGTGACGCATCGCATTGGCTTGAATTTTTGGCAATTAGCCGTTTGCAATTATAAAATAATCCAAGATTCTCAACAGACGACGTGTTGGCTAGTGTTGCGATAACTTCAATTGCGTTACGTTACGTTAAGTTTGATGCGTTAATTGAACGATTCGTTAAGTTGGCTCTGCCGAATTTTTGGCGCCATTTCGTATGTAATTCAATTGAATATGAATAGCAGTTGGTGTGTGATGCCAAACAAAATAACGGATGAGCACAAACACAACTAAAATCAAAACAAAAACGCAAAGAAAAAACAACGCATACCACATCAAGTATACGTCACGATGTCCAATGGCAAAGCAGCTGCAACAGCTGATAAAAATGGGTAAACAGAATGACTGTGTAAATAACTGAATGCTGCAATTAAACTGTACTAACTAAAACAAACTGGTTTTCTTTTCGTTTTGCATTTTTCGTATTTATAGCGCACTGAACGATCGTCCTTTATTCATGCACAATGGCAACAACAACAATCGTCGCATTTCCGGCATTAACGATGTGGAAGTCAGCAACTTTCGCCGGGCTCTGCCACAGTTTCTAGCTGTTAGTATTAAGAACCTATTGCTATTCGGTAAATAACTTGTAATACTAGCATTTCTTAATTATATGTACATATTAAATGCTGTGTGCCAAGCGGGGGAATGAATTTAATCAAATTCCCATTGAATAATGCAAAATTCACGATAATCAAAATCATATTCATTTTCGCTTTCAAGTGTCTAGCTTATCTATTGTTAAATCCGCCAATTGTTCTCTTTAAAAACAATTAAGATGTGGAATTTGAAGACTTTATTCCCTGACTGTGGCTCAATCCAAATGAAAATATTTGCAATTTGTATATTATTTAACCAAAGTCGATTTCAATCAACGCGTTATTCCATTCGTAATGCAGGGTATGGCATGACTCTTGGCTTTCCCACAATTGTTATACCAGCCATTCAGGGGGGCGAGGGACGCAGAGAGGGTTCCGACAGCGGGATAGTGCTCAACAAAGAGGAAATATCATGGTTCAGTAAGTACGACGTCATCCCATGGCTGCATTGAACGCGCAACAACTAATTGACTTTACGCAGGTTCGATTAATTTGATTTGTGTGCCGTTGGGTTGCCTCTTCTCTGGCCTATTGACCCAGCCCCTGGGCAAGCGGCGCGCCATGCAGGTGCGTATCCCCAACACCTTTATACCATTGAACTGCTGATGCTGCTGCCCAAAGCTTTGCGCTCTATTGCCTTGTCGTATCTGTGTTTGCCAATGCATCTGTATCTGTGTCTCTGATTACGTTTTGCAGTTTGTCAACCTGCCCATACTGGCTGCCTGGCTTATGTTTCACTTCGCCACGCGCACGGAGCATCTGTATGCGGCTTTATGCTTGGCTGGTCTCGGCGGCGGCCTGATGGAAGCGCCCGTAAGTGATCACGATCCATTCAAAAGTCAGCCCACTAACCAACTAACCAACTAATTGAGTTTATCTAGCCACAAGTATTATGTTCAACCTTGCTAAAGTAAACAAATAACAAAATATACATACACACATACATACACACATATATAATTGAGCGTTGCAGTTGGACGCAATCGACTGCATAATACTCGTTCACGCTCCGAAAACAATCAAATTGAATCAGATATATTTTGGATTTCTGAAATCTTACGACAATCTTGAAATTTTAAATTTGTTAACATTTTAAGCCAGAAGCAAGTGCCTTTCGAGCCATATGGAATTAAATTATTAATAATTATTTTATTAAATTAAAGTATAGGTATTATATACTCTGAGGTGTTGGCTGAAGCTGTTCTTCAATTATTTAGTAAAACAAATTTTGATGCTAATGCTAATGTGGCTCGGAAAATTTGCTTATCAGTTTTCTTTACATTGTTTTTGTTAGGAGAGCTATAAGTATGATGATTAATAAATCTTTAGATAGTTTTAAGATCGAGCAAATACTAAAGCATAAAGCATTACAAACGTCGAATTTGTGAAGGCCAAATTAAAGTTGGCAACACGAAATCGATGCTAAGGCACAAGGCCAAATCGCAGCTAGCAAAACGTAATTGCTGCAGATTCCCATTTAGAGAGACATTAAGAGCTACCATGAGGCGCTTTTATTGGGGCCCAGTGCACGGTGCATGTTCGAATTGTCATTGTTCGATGGCCTCGAAGGTCTCCTTGAGACGTCGATGCTGGCTTGGCTGGTGGCAGTTGAAGTCAATGCACTAAGTGATCTTCACCTTTTGCAGGTGCTGACATATGTGGCCGAGATAACGGAGCCGAGGTATCGGGGCATTCTGTCGGCGCTGGGCACCACCTGTGTCATCACTGGCGTCTTTGTCCAGTTCATACTGGGCTCGCTCATGGACTGGCGCAGCGTGGCGGCGGTGAGTGCCGCGTTCCCGGTCATTACGATAGTCATGCTGTGCTTTGTGCCCGAGAGTCCCATTTGGCTGATACGGGAGCAGCGATACCGGGAGGCCGTCAAGTCGCTGCAGTGGCTGCGCGGCTGGGTGCCGGAGCATCAAGTGGAGACGGAGTTCAATCATCTCTACGATGAGCTGGTTACCCAGAAGGCCATCGAGGAGGCCACCGAGGGCAGTGGGGCGTTGCCCGGCCAGCGACGCACGCTGAAGCATCGGCTGCGGATGTGGCGTAAGCGCACCTTCCTGGTGCCCTTCCTGCTCGTCTCGTTCACCTTCTTTACGGGCCACTTTTCCGGCAAGACGCCGCTGCAGACGTATGCCGTGCAGATCTTCCACACCCTGAAGGCGCCCATGAACAAATACCATGCTACGATCCTGCTGGGCGTGGCCGAGATGCTGTCCACCATACTGGGCGTCGCTCTGATCCACTTCACGGGCAAGCGGCCGCTGGTGCTGATCTCGACAGTGGGCACGGGCTTGTGCTTCCTCGGCACCGCGACCTATGCGCACTTCCTGAACGATGTGCCCGGCTTTGCGGTCAACAATGTGGTGGTGAACGCCTCGGCGATTGTGCCTAAGGGCAGCATCATATCGCAGGCGAACATATCGAAGATATTTGAGAATCAATACCAGGATGAGCTGGAGCATCAGCACCAGCTGCAGCAGGAGCGAGAGCACAAACAGGAGCAGCAACTGACCACGATGCTGCCGGAACTGGATACGACCACGATAGAACAATCTGACACGACTATGGAGCCATGGAATCGTAGCAAACGCGAATTGGACACGACACTAAGCCCACATAACGTGGACGAACTGGAAGTGACTACGCTGCTGCCCGAGCCAACGGCTGCTGCTCCTGCAGTCGTCACCAGCGAAGTTCCGCCATCGAAGCCCCCGATTTCGGAAGATCTGCTGCTGACTGTGCCCAAGCAGGAGCGCAACTATTTGGTGTGGGTGCCGCTCATACTGCTGCTATTGTCCGCCTTCTTCTCCCATCTGGGCATTCGCATGATACCCTGGATACTCATTGGCGAAGTCTTCCCCGCCGACATACGCAACATGGCGTCCGGCTTTGCCGGCGGCGTTGGCTATGTCTTTGGCTTTCTGGCCAACAAGCTGTTCCTGCTGATGCTCAGCGCGCTGACGTTGCCGGGCACGTTTGGGTTCTATGCCTGCGTCGGCTTCATTGGCGCAGTCGTGCTCTACTACACGCTGCCTGAGACGGAGGGCCGCACACTGGCGGTAAGCAGAGCTTAATGAAATAATCGGCGAAGGAATCGGGCCTCACATCTCTATATATTTTCTTGCAGGAAATCGAGGCGCATTTCTCCAAGAAATCGGATACGAATCTGCTGCGCAAACAGCCGCCACAGCACGCAGCCGAAAAGCAGCAGAGTCCGCCTGTGAACGGAGCGAATGCCATCCAGCTGGACAACCTGCAGGATCTGCACATGCCGATCAGCCCGCTGCAGCAGGCCAAGATTATACAGTTGCAGCAGAGCGACTTCGTGCCCCAAGCGCAGCCGGAGCGGACGACAGACCGAGGCGTTGCCCTGAACGGCGTCAGCAACCCCGCCTTCGAGGAGACCAGCAATACGACACATCTCTGAGGTCATTCTTACCTTCCTTTCCAGTGATATCCCTAAGCATTAAAGTAATACCATAATAAGTACTAAATCCCGGCTAACCAAATGTCGCATTTGTTTATTCCATTGTTATTGAATTTATTTCTCGGCCGCAACCTAACCCCTCCTGCTGTTGGCAAGCTCATAGATTTTCTGGCTCGGCCTTACCTGGTAGTTATATAAGCAGGTGACATAAACAATGGACTGGCTGTTCTCCTGGCGCACCAGCATGCCGCAGCCCATTTTGGTGGCCTTGTAGTAGGCCAGCTGTGCGAATGCCCTGTGTGACGCGTTGGCCGTGTCCGCATATTTCGTTACGGATTCAATGGGAAAGTCCTCAAGGCTGGTCTTGAAGAATTTATCAACGCTAAATATGAATGACGATATGGCCGACTCCGAGGTCTCGAAGCTGTACGAGGTACGACCCACGTTCAAGAATCGTGGAACATTCACGCATTTGGCGAACGTGTCATCGTTGCAAAAGTTTGTGACGCGCATGGCCACCTTGGCTAGCTCAACGTCCCAGCGAAGCATCGGCAGGGGCTTGGCCATGGGCAGCCGTTGCGCCGCGCTCGACAGAGAGGCGCGCAGCACGTTGTGCGCCGCCATGATTTTGGCTCCGTGAATTTTCATGTTGATACCCTTTCGTGGCTTGGGACAGTTGTCGCCCCACTTTTGCAAAGTGGAAATCATATTTAAATCTCATCATCGATCATTCAAGTGCGGCTATGCGAAACTTACGAACTTTGCACTGCAGCAAATGTGGCGTACGCCTCTCGGACAGAGTGCTTTGTCGCAGTAGTCGGGCGGCTTTTTGGGGACTGTCGGCTGTTCACGCTTGTATAAGGGTATTTTGGTCTTATAGAGTGGGATGCGCCAAACGGCGCCATCTGAGACCAGGAAATCACCCAAAATATGAGCGAATACCACAATTAGCGCTATGGGAATGGCCATCTTTCATTTTCTCTCACTGTCTTTCATCTACTATTTTCTGGAATGCTAAATCTCCAAAGTTTACAGCCAAACGCGATTCGATCCATGTTCCGCTTGTTTAAGAAATAAAGTATTACTAATTACTACTGTTGATGCTATCGAACCGAACGCGAACTAACTACGCCTTTGTGCCAGGGTGATCTCAAGGATTATTCCATTGCTAGAATCTCCCGCATTGGCGTCTGCTCAATTTGATCAGGTTCTTATCTCCATATTTGTAAAACGCCCATCAATATTTTTATCAATTCGGCTATATATAGAATCGCATATACAGCAGCGAAAGTATGGACGAACAACAGGCAGTCTAATGTAAAAGCGGAGAAGTCCATCTCAGTTTGGTATTTGAATACGATTGAGTGAATCCTTGCAGATGATGTCAAGTGTGATCAATTCGATTCGAGTAAATAACAGAACTAAAGATATCATCGTCTAGAGGAATTCAATAAATAATGTAGCACTAATTAAAAACCCGGTTCCAGCTAAAGGATTAGTCGAATTGAGTTCAACAATCAATACTCACAATTGTTAACTACAGTTTTATGTGAACTTCGACTTGTAACGTAAGTTTAAAGCATGCTTAAATATAATATTGTATAACACGATTCTCATAGATATATATATGAAGATATTAATATGCTTGTACAGCCGCCAAATGGTTATTGCTCAACTTTAAGTTTCATCATCCTGCAACTCCAGGAACTGCGTACAAACATCGCGACTGCATTCACCTTTGTTATTGAATAGGAATTTATAGTAGTGACCATCCGCGCAAATAGCTAAACGAAGCAAAAAACAACATTATTTTGATTTCTTAAAATGTATTTGAAATGAGACTTACCCACAACCGAATTGGAATCGGCACCAAAGGCACATATACAGCGAGGTCCCTGCGGTATGGAGAACTTCACGAAACTCCATTGACTGGAAAAATACTTGGGTATCATCGGAAGCGATGATTCACGTTGCTTGTTGTCCTCCAAATTGAAGACATGAATGGTGCCATGATCCGAGGCCACAACAATCATTGTCGACTGATGATTAAAGTTGATGCAAAATATGTTTGCATGGTTGCTGCCGCGTCGCAGCTCGGACACCTTTTTCCCGTTTTCTGTATCAAAAATGCGTATCAATGTGCCTTTCTCGCCGGCGGTGGCCAGTCGAGTGCCTTGCAAGTTAAGGGCAATGCAACTGATGGCCGCCTCATGGGCAATCACCTCCAATGGGGCTCGTTCGGTGTTGGCAAGATCAACGATTTGTACATGACCGGTACGCCGGCCAGGGAATGCGAGTAGACTTTTATTGCTGTGTGGACAGAGGACACACAGGCCGTTCGGATTGGCGCTGGTCTCGAACACATGCAGCTGCTGTGGCTGCTGTGTAAATGTGTACACCTTAATGACGCCCTCCAGCACGACGACAATCCGATCCCGTCTCAGGCGCACTGCTCGCACTGGCTGATTGAAGTCCAAAGATATTGCCGGTGATTTCTTGAGATCATCCCAGACAATTACTTTGTTGGGCGGATACAGCGGTCGAATCCCGCCACCGACAAGCGCCAGATAATTGCAGCGAAAGAGCATCTCAACATGGCTGAGGCCACCTGAAACACGCAAAACACAAAGCAATCTGAGTCATTGTTGGGGAATTGTGGAAAGTTTTCACACACAGTAAGTTAATATATCTTCGTCAAAGACGCGAGATAGACTTGAAGATAATGAATTCTCTGCTATAGTACTTTTGCCGATGATGTTGAAGATGAATTCACAACTTGATCAATTTTGGTGCCTTAAATATGAAAATTAACTGATAAAAAAACAAAAACCCCCAGCTAAGCGCAACACAAGATAGATTTGGGAGATAATATTATCAATGTATGCACTTTACAGAAAATTTATTTCACATACACACACACACACACTTACCTTCGGGAAAGTATTGGCGTTCCTTTTCCTTTAGCGGATCACAATTGTAGACTCGAAACCCGGTGTCTGTGGCACAAGCAAAACATCCTGCGGCGCAATTAGATCGGTGAATGAACATATATACATTTTACATATAGTATGCTTATTGCACGTTGAAAGTTCGTGTTCGTGAATATGTAAACAAAGTAAGATGTACATACCTTGGTCCTGATTAAATCCAGCATAAAGAAGGCCATTGCCATACGGATTCTGCTCCGTTAAGTTCATAATAAAGTCGTTGCACTTTTAATCCCAACAATGTTTGAATTGTTTCCTCCACTCCAGCGCACAAAGATTTTTAGCTGCGTGATGATTTCTATTTATTTTTTTTATGCATTTGTACGAGGGCTGGGAGCGCATATGTCGCTGTTAAGCTACCAACTTCATGCTGCTGACAATCACGTAAGCAGATTTCATATGTGATTTACGATAGTCGTCTGTTTGGTATTTTAATCTAATACATCAACTTCTGTAAATTGAAGAAAAATATATTATAATATTCAAATAAAAAGTTCTTCGATTAATGGCAATAATTTATTGAGCTATTATATTTGTTATTTGGTATTAAAATTATCTCTAGGTAAAAATAGTTTGTTGTGATACTTTGTTGGTATTATTGTACGTATCAAATTTTGTGATATTTTTCAGCATTCAGAAAGCTGTCATATTGTATCGAATCGTTTTGCATTTACATTGCTATTATTTTCTGGAATCGTATTCATGACTTAGTTGTTGCCTGGATACTAATTGAAACGGCATGGATTGTACCGATTTAAATACATTCGGCGACGACGACGTTATTGAACCATGCCGAACCTGCGGTATTTATTTTATTTCCAACCATGCCGTTATACAGCCAATATTTACAATACCTGGTACCGGCGACTTTTCTAATGGCTTCATGAAAGAAATAGTGGAGCAATTGAATGCCTGGAATCTTGAGGTAGTAGTGAAGATAGGTTTGTCAGTCAATCAAATGGTATAAACTCTCATTACAGGTAGTCAGGAACGACGGTCGGCCACAGTACATATGCATTGCGTGCATTAATGAATTCCAGAAGGTGCTAAACTTTAAGCGCAGCTGCCGGGACACACAGCAGCAATTTGATGAATTGGACTGCAAGCATGCACACAATGGGCTTGTGATAAAAAAGGAAATTGATCCGCCCAGTGAAGAGACTAAATACTGTGAGTTCATTTATATAGACTCAGACGAAGAGGGTGGCAGCGAAGAGGATGGCAGCAGGCGCGTCTGTGCTCCTCTCGACATACCCCACGTGCCCATTAAGGAAGAGCATACGGCCCGTGTCCCACAAGAGACGAAATTTAAGCCAGCAGTGCAGTTAGTTAGTAATTTGTCCGACGAGGCGACTTTCACACAAGTCGAGCCTAATGTGCTGGCCGCTGCAAATGGCTTCAACTCCCAATTATTCGAGGGCGCGACTCCACCAAGTGAGCAGCAAGATAGCGATGACGATATCATTAAGTTTACCTATGAAGATGATGAAGAAGGCGCAGCGTTGGTGACGCTGCCAGCGCCAATTGAGGATCAGGGTGTCTATTGCAAGCTTTGCGGGCATACTTCAGCTACACAGGAACGACACAATGAGCACATGAGTCGCATTCATATGCTTAAGGATTGCGAGTGCTACATATGCGGCAAGAAATTCGCCAATGCACATGAATCGCGGCTCAGATTCCACATGAAATGGCACAAATTACAGAAGCATCTGAAGTGCCCGATCTGCGGCTTCTTTTGCAATTCCAAAGACACACTCAAAGAGCACAAACTGGCAGTGCATACCCGTTCCAAATGTGATTTCTGCGGCAAGAGTATGTCTAAGTATTTAATCAATTTTATTGCTAAATCTTATTGATGTTTATTTTTCAACCAACAGCCATGAAGCACAAACAGTTAGAGGCTCATCTCAATCGGCATATACAAGGTAAGCCAGCACCTTCACCTATTTGAATTATATTACACATGAATTAATGATTTTTTTTTTAGAGCACGAGGAAGAACTGGCGCGCAAAATGAGTTTAATGCAGGCAACAACAGCCCCGCCACCACCGCAGGATCTGATACAATGCGCCTTTTGTGTGAGCACTTTTAGCGATGCTGATAAGCTTCAGGAACACGTGCTGACCACCCATCGAATGGCCGCTGAAGATCTGGCAAAATCGGCAGTCGAGTCGGAGCAGCTGCCAGCAATTGATACTTCTTCCACATTTACCGCCCAAACAGAGTTACCACAGTCGCCAACTATTGGTAAGACCCCGATAGCCGATGCAGCCAATAGTAGCCAAAGTTCAAGCAATTTTAATAGTCCACGTCAGGAGAAGTCGATGTGCCAGTGCAGCATTTGCGGAAAACAGTTCGATTTAAAAATTAAACTAAATCGACATCTAAAGATACACAATAAGTCACCATTCTGATGGATAAACAAAGCTAGCAACCTTTTCCAATTTCTGTAATAGCAGCCGCGACTGGATATTAATATAAACTTTACGCACCCATAGATTATGCCATCAAGTCACTGTGAATATTCAACATTTCATTTAGTTGTAATCATGTCCTAGAATAAAAACCAAACTGGTAGATTAATTTGATAACAGCAATCGTTATGCTAATATCATATATTAGAGGGCAGCTTTCGCTTCTTCGAAATACAAATCATATGCCCAAATTCCTGAATTCTCATATAATTATACGAAGCAAAATTTGTAATGTTAAACTTTTTGCTTAAAATCGTAAATTACATAATGTTAGCTACTATGTATAATTATATATATGTATATAAATGATAAATGTAAAGTCCAAACAATTGGTTATGTAAACAACGTAGTTTTAACAAGCCTCTGCCACATGCCTCCTTTCACTTAATTGCCATGTCCTCCGCTGGCCGTCTTCAGCACAGTGGCGGGCAACAGTTTTGTGTTTAACGCTTTGCCAGCTACCGCATCAACAGTTGCCGTCGTTACATTGCTTAGTTTAACGCCACTGCCGGCGCCGACGGTTGCTGACGCCGTGGACATGGGTATCACCTTCATACTGGACAATGGCTTCAGATTGACGCCCTGCAGTCCGGGAGTAAAGAACAATTGGCCGCCATTGTTTTGTACGGCGAATACCAGATTATTGGCAGGAGTTGTGGTGGTTGTGGCTACCGTTGATGTGGTGCTAACATTGCTGCCACTGCTGCTAGTAGCGAGTAGCACATTCTTGCCCAGACGTAGAGTCTGTGTCGTACCAGCGCCAATCAGCAGAGTTTTGGGAGCAGTGGCAATGGCGGTGGACGTGCTGGGCTGGCTGCTGTTGCTGATGCTGGTCGTGTTGCTGCTGGTGGCCAGGCGGATCAACTGATTGCCCATGATGACCGTTTGCATGGGTCCACCTGAAGCATTTCGCGCAGGAATAGTCTGCAATTGAGAATGTATATGTTATGGATGCGTCCCAAAGCCCACTAATGCATTCCGTATGCTTACCGTTCCTTGTAGTTTCACCGTCTGCCCGCCAATCACAATATTTTGCGCCGTCTTCAGCCCAGCGACACCGCCGCCAGTGGCCAGCGTGGTGGCCGTACTCGTTTGTGTGCCACCCACTGCAGCGCCGCCCAGCTTCAGCGCCTTGGCGGTCAGGAGCAGCGGCTTTCCGGACATAACTGTCGTCTTGCCTATGATTTTAGGCACCATAGCCGCATGGCCGCCAGTGACAATGCGCGCCGTTGCCGGCAGCTGCTTAGTCGTGGTCAACTGCTGCTGCTGTTGTTGTTGCTGCTGGGTCTGGGTCTGGGTCTGGGCGTTGGGCGTCAGCGTTATGACATTGCCACCGGTGGCCGTTGTCGCTAGCTGTATGAGCTTGCCAGCATTTTGCTTCTGCAATAGACTCTCCAGCGTCACTATGTGACCGGATTGCGTTGCTGTGGATGTGCCAGGCGATGTTGTTGCTGTCACTGGACTTGTGCGTATGATACGCGTTGTTGTCTGCGACGTGGCAACAGCAACGGCAGCTCCAGATGCAGCACCAGCCCCTCCTGCTGCAGCTGTAGATATCGGCTGCTTGAAGCTCTGCAATACAATGCGCTGCTGCTGCGGCGAGAGATTCGCGGTGGCCAACGGCTTGGCCTGCCCAGTCACTGTGCTGAGTATTTTAGGTGCCGCTTTTGGAAGCGTCTGGAACACTATGTTTTTGTTCGATGATATTGCCGTGTTGCCTGTAAAGAAGACAGTTAATTAGCACCATATTTATGAATTGGAATATTGGCCAAGTCTCAAGCACTAACCCACGAGGATTCGCTGCTGCGGCTGTTGTTGTTGCTGCTGTTGCTGCGGTTGCTGCGACTGCTGTTGCTTCTGCTTCAATTGCTGCTGCTGCAGAGTGGCAAACGCCTGCGGCGACATCTTTACAATGGTGCCCGTGCCCGTGCCCGTTTGCGTGCCACCAGATGTGGCATTGGTGATCGTACTGCCACTGGCGGACGTTGCCGTCTTGCTGTTGACAATGGAAACACCGCCGATCTTCTGTTGCAGTGGGCGAACTGTTGTTTGTGCGAGCATGCGTGGTCCAAGTATTTGGACCGGTGGCGTGGGCCTAACCACAGTCGGATTTCCGGGCAGCTGTACAACCGAGGGTTTGCCAGCAGCTGGACCAGCCCCACCGCTAGCGGGCAACAGGCGTATAATATTTTTGGGCATTTGTTGGCGTGCAGGCGAAGCTTTGTTAGGCTGATTGTTTTGTTGCTGCTGTTGATCCATTGGCAAAATGAAGCTGCCCGTTGAAGAAGCTGCAGTTGCTGTGGCTGGTGACTGGGTTTGCGTGGGCGTATTGATGACAATGGGCTTCTTGATGGTCACCTTCTTGTTAGGCGTGGCGGCCACATGAACAGTTTGTAAGCCGCTGGGCGTGGACACCAGTATGGGCGTGGTATTACGCGTGGGACTACTGTTCTGTACCACTTGCTGCTGCTGCTGCTGCTGCTGCTGGAGAGCTTTGGGTGAGGTTTTCAGTAGTTGAACAGTTCCAGATCCTGACGACCTTTCCAGTAGCGTCACTACGCCGCTGCGCTGTGTAGGCTTGAGCAGAGATTTCTGTGTTGTCGCCAGCTGTTGGGGGGAAATGACAGCGTTTCCACCTGATGACGCAGATCCGCCGGGCGGTACATGATATTTGAGAGGCGGAACTGGCGGAAATTTCACCTGCAATGGTGACTGCGCATGCTTCTTGATCATAACAGCTGTGGGACTCGGCGCTGTTGATGTTGCCACTGTTGATGTTGCATTTGTTGTGGCTGTGGAAGCTGCCACCAGGGCGGGCAGCTCCTGTGGACACTGGTCA